GTTCCACATGTAAGCAAACTGTAGATGCCAGCATTCACCCACCACTACAGAGAGGGCTTAATCCCAGTTTACTGAGAGCATAACTATATTCAGTTACAATCACATTTATTATGTTAATGTTTCAAATATGTACTCAAAAAATGACAGATGATCGATCCCTTAGTTTAGCAGGGCTGGTTAACTGATTCAATGATTTCAGGTAAAGTGAGTGCGTTTTTTCATCCAGTTCTGTTATGTCCTAATTAAAACAGCCTCAGTTAAATCAAATTGCAGAAATAATGTTGACTCTCCATTTGTTGCCTCTTTGTGCAGAGGTGTCATTTTCTGGTTGAGTAGCACACTTTTGTTAGTAAAGTGGCAACCTGAGTTTAGCATCAAAACTGATCCTGTGTGTAAGCAAACCCTGCACTGCAAACTGCATCCATATGTTTATTTAGCTGAGTCACACGTACATTGTTGCTCAATATGGTGAAACATGAGTCAAAAGACAGTAATGATGATGTATAGGAAATTGGATTGGACATTGTCCATCCATCATCTATATTCCACTTAATCCTCACTAGGGTCGCAGGGGGGCTGGAGTCTATCCCAGCCAGCTTAGGGCGAAGGCAGGGGACACCCTGGACAGGTTGCCAGTCTATCGCAGGGATACACTTAGAGACATGTTTTTGGACTTGTGGGAGAAAGCCCAGTTGATCAATAATCATTGCACCACCTCAGGGCTGTCACAATAAATCAGTCAAAAGTCAAAGAACACAATAGTAGTCAAAGACTTCTTTGACATCCAATCCTTTAATTCTTTTGTCAAGCAAAAATGCCCAACACTGCAGTTGCTTGATTTTCTTAAGGATTTTCACTGTTGATAGACATTTTTCTAACATTTTGTGCACAATAACAGAAAAACATTAACAATGAATCCATTCTGAAAATACAGTAACTGCTAACTTTGCATCACCACACTACAAGTACTGTGTAGTTGTTTAGAGCAAAGTGGAAATTGAATAATTCAAACATGGTCTTTTGGAGCATTAAGCTAATGTGAAAGCTTTTCAGAACTGTGTTTTACACACGTGTTCAGCCATGCAAACACGAAAAAGGAAAAAAAAAACTTACACCTTTAATTTCTTTGCCAAAGTGGCTCAAGCACAGGCAATCTGAAAGTGTGTTTTGGACACACATTAATGTATTTTGGCCTAGTGTAGGTAGGACATGCCTGGAGCTACTCTCCAGGTTGTAGGCGCAAGCAAGAAACAACTTTTGAGGTTGTTTTTAGAGCAGCGTAATGTTGAACTCAATGTGAGCTTCAAATGCAATCAGTCTCCCAGATGTCAAGCGGAATCCAATCTCCACGATCACTACTCTGAACACGAACAACATGCACTTAGATGGGAACCAGCAACGGCAGCTTCGGTGGAATTTCTCCTGCTCCGTTTATTTGCTGGGTGAGGAAGTGTCTGCCAGCGCATATGAAATGAGTGAGCAGAGCATGTGGTGGTGCTGATGGGGGGAGTTACAACGGATCACTGTGACCCTGTGAGGTCGTGATTGGGCAGCCCACGTGTTTTTTTCAGGAGAGAGAGTGTGTTTGTGCTGCTCTACCTTGAGTCAATATTAAGAGAGCATTGGAGCTCATTTTCCTCCAGAATTCTCAAACCCTGTCAGCACAGAGTTTTGCTGCACCGTGCAGTAACTGTGCAGGCTGTCACAGCAGCAGATGATGGCTGCAGCCTTTTGTGGAGTTTCTCTGCTGCTACTTTAATGCAGAAGGAGCAATTGGCGAGGCACACTATAAACCTGGACATTTCACCAAAGTCAGCTGTGTTCAAGTCCAATGTTTGATTGACCCATCCACCACCCTGACCTCTTTCATATTTTGATAAAAAAAAATTTTTGGCTCTGTAGCTACATCAACTGACCTTTTCCCTTTTTTTTTTTTTTTTTGCTTCATTAATGCTATGGCCATCAAAAATTCTGTTTCTTGAAAGAGAACGGATGCTGTTTTGGGGCTTTGGCTAAAACAACTTATGCTGCCTCACATGTTGCTTGACAATAATAATTTTAAAAAGCTGTAATAAGCTGCTGGTTGACCTATGTGCTGCTCAGGTTATAACAGGACAGTGATTATATTTATGAGGATGACCTAACTGTATGTATTGAATGATTTGTCAGAACTCACTCTATAGACTAAGCAATGGAGTGTTTATATACTGTATGTGAAAAGAGATGGATAAGTGAAGGAAGGCCCTTGCACAGAGCTGAGCCATTGTTGATGTTATGAGTAACAACACCTCTGTTTTTTCTACAAAACAAGTCAAAACGTATGCTTGGGAAAATGTCCATTGACTGTGAAAGTCTGTTTTTGACTTCAGAAAGGTTAAACCTCATGCGCCCATGAGGACATTTTTATTTAGATTTTTAGATAATTTTGGCTGTGTTTATGCATTTGGCATAAAATTTGTTAAAGGTGTGTATTTTGGGTAGAATATCTAGTTTAAACCTCAGCCCCCCACTACAGACTTTTTATGAAATTCAGAATGAATAAAGAATTTTTATATCGTTTTTTTTTTTTTTTAAATGACTTGACCTTTGCTTAGCTTTAAATTTAGTCATCAAGACGTGCTGCCGTTATTGTGTGATTTTGCTGCTGTTGTCGTTAAAAGACACTTTTCATGGTTTAAGCTGAGATGCACTATGGGAAAGAGGGTGCTGAAGCATTGCTGTTACTCGACACACACTGTACTCTGTTGTGCCAGCTAGATGGGCAGTTTAAATAATTTCAAGTGCAACACCTCAGTTCCTTCACACAAAGTACATATGCACAGTCACATGCACTCTGCAAAAACTTGCATAGACATCCATACAGGAACACATAAATGCACGTTGAAAAACTTCTATTGGCATCCTCAGGTTCTCTCGGTGAGGAGGGTTGTTTTTTCATGAACGAGCGCACAAGGAGTATGTTGTTAGAAATGTAGCAATAAGTTCACTCTGTCTCACTCTCAGATGTCCAGGATGTCTTCAGTTAGGCCAGTGGGGGTTCTCATACTGTTGGTTAGGAGCCAAAATGGGCCGTGCTCTTTTGGATATTAAGTGGACAAATGCATTATTGTGTCCTTGGGAAACCGAGTGTCCCCATAGTCAGACAACATTAGCACAGTTTGGATCCCAGGTGAAGAGTTAAAGTTTAGTAACTTGAGTTTGGCACATGGCGCATACAGACCTTTTGTCACAGTTATTATACCCTATTTCCTTTAAAGGTATGTGCACAGTGCAGTTTTTTCAAGTATTTGGACAATGTTCAGTAAATTCAATGATGTTTTCTTTTACTTTGTTATAGCACCGAGCCACAAAATGCTAAAACGTTGTCCCAGTTCACTATTAATGTGTTAAAACGCACACATAAACAATGTTGAGTTAGCTAGCTGGACATTTGTGAGCCCCGTTGGGAGCTCTATTAGAATCTGGGATTGTATTTTTATGAACAAGGTTTTAACCAACTACGATTCAGGTTAACACCTTAGGGAAGGAATTAAGAGACGTAAATAGCAGTATGACTAGCGATACCTTTAGCACCTAATCACATTCATATGTGTCCAGATTACTTTTTTCAACTCTTAAATGTATCAGCCGTTTTTCTGATTGCATACCTTGGGTCTTGTCATAATGTTATTTATTCATAAATATTTCAGACTGATGTTGTTCATGTTTCTACTTCCACGATTCTTGTATACAGCCTACTTCAAAGAAATTGGTCAGCTTTAATCACAAATCACAGTTAAATGCTTGTAGTTAAGAAACTTGTTATTGTACAATGTGTGCAGTGGTCCAGCGGTGTTTGGCATGCAAGTCTACTTAGTGCAGCTGTAACCTGTGTTTTAGAGAAAATGACATAAAAGATGCCAGAAAAATCTACAACAGTCTGTGTTTCATATTTTTTCCAGCTCGCTCGGCGTCTCAGTACGTGCCGACCTCCGGCTCCTGCAGGAACAGGTGTTTTGAGCTGGTTGAGTTGGAGCCACCAAACTGTCGCTGCGACAACCTGTGCAAGACCTACAATGGCTGCTGCTCTGACTTTGACCAGCTTTGCCTCAGAACAGGTAATCCCCCAACCTTTCTGCTTGTCCTCCGATGTGTGTGTCCTTAACATTGTCCAGCTCCTAATATATATTCTGTTCGGTGTAAGTAAAGAAAAAGTATTATGGTTTAAACTCACTGATTTTAACTTAGAGATATTCCAAAGGCATTATAAAAACAGAAGTGCACATTTTGTTGTTTTGTTTGAAAAAAGAAGATGACTCCTAGATTTCTGGCAGCTTGTTTTATGTAAACAAAAAGACACTCATGCGCTTGATGTTGCAGGTTAGGTTGAGGAAATCAAATTAAACAGTCTCAGATTTTTTTTTTTTTGTCACTGAGCTGGAGGAAATCCTTGGTGATCCGATATGTAATATTTATCAGGTGGTCAAGAATTTTCTTTGACATGTAATGCAACTTTTGTGTGGTTGCTGTTACTCTCCTGTTTCTGTTTGGGAAAGTAAGCGAAAACAGGTTGTGCTTGATTTACTATACAGTACTGGCAACATATATGTTACAGAAAACAGAGATATGAACAGGAGAACAATTGTCTAAATGTTTAACAGGAGTCAGGAACACGCCGTTAGTAATCCCCTGTAGTAGCGCTATGGAGCACTCAAGATTCATGAGTGGGTGCCTGCTTTGTTTGTCTTACAACAGAATGCATGTGCATGTACAGGCAGAACAGACAAAACCTGACTAAAAAGTCACCACACATAGAATAGAATAGAATAGAGTAGAATAGAATAGAATAGAACAGAACATCTTTATTATCATTATACAAGTACAATGAAATTTAAAGAGCTGCCCCTGAGGTGCACCAGCAATATACATTATAAGACATACAAGACATATGTATTTATAATACTTTGTACAACCTTATAAAATACGATTTAAAAAACAATAAAAAAAGGACAATTTGAAAACCAATTGCCATAGCAGAGTGGTAATTGGGTATTGCACAGAGTGAAGTGTTTATTATTACATCAATGTAATACATTTACTTAAACCTGAGTTTAAACCTGATTACGACTTTTTGAACATTTTTTTTACCATATAAATAGGACTTTGTAAAAAAGTGTATGTTTTGTGAAAATACAAAGAATAATATAACAAACAAAACAAACAAAAAAAACTGCATTGACTGGTTATGTCATTAGTAAATGGAGAGATACCCTGAGTTGAGGCTATTTTTTCTGTTTCTTGTATTTGAAAAATCTTTGTTGATGCTCCCACACTTGGGTAGTTGAGTCTGTTATGTCACACAAATAATGTAGAAGCTGAATTTAATCCTAATGGAGAAAAAGTAACACCAGATAAGCTAGTGTTGCTAAAAGCTAACTAGCCTAACTTAGCAGACATGTGATTTTATTTAAGTAAGCTACCTTTTAGATACTGTTGTCCTTGTGCCCTGCAGACTGAAAAGATATACTATTAAAAATAACTTTTTAGGCTTTTTATAAAATCAGTGGCTGTAATTAATCATAAGCTTTAAAGGTCCAGTGTATAGGATTTAGTGATTTTGGATCTAGTGGAGAGGTTGCAGATTGCAACCAACTCAACAGCCCTTGCTCCATCTTTCCCTTTAAGCTAGAAAGGAGACTCTGTTGTGACCATTACATTTACTAAAAACAGAAGGCACTCTAGAGCCAGTGTTAAGTTTATCTATAAAAACATGGCTGTCCATGGTGGGTAAGGGTTAGAGACATTGGGGATAAACATAACTTTTGTTTACAAGGGAATGATACTGGGTACCTTTCAGTTCATAGATATGCTCTATATTCTATTTAACATCTGTCAACATTTTTGAAACCTGAGATACATTTATTGAGTATTTTCATTCTATAAGATTTTATACACCTGCCTTTCTACATTTTAGAGGGAAATACTCTACGTTGTGCAACATCTGCAGGCTGTAGTTACTCATTGCCTTACTAATGAGATGTTGACGGTTTCTTACTTTTTGAGCAAGGTCTGTGTTTGTTGTCATTTGCTGAACATTTTCCCTGCTGTTAGTGATCTGATTTTTTTGTTCACTCCTTTAACCTGGTGGTCTTTGACTCACCACTGTCTTGACACCATAATTGTCTCTATGCCTGAAAATGATGATATGCTTCTTTTTGTGGGTTTACCCTAATCTTTACCCTGACAGTGTCAATTCTTCCTTCGATCTATGTTTCATTTTGAGGAATGTTTAAAACACAGACTACGTAGTCATAGTTGGTCCCGTGCTGTTACCGGCTCACTGTGCCGTTAAACCACAGTTACACTAATATAACAGCTTTCATTCCTCTTTTCATCCTTTCAACTCTTGTCCCTCCTATGGTCTTCCTATACAGAAGGGGGCTATGAGTGCAGTAAGGATCGATGTGGGGAGACTCGAAACGAACAACATGCCTGTCACTGCTCTGATGACTGTCTGTCCAGAGGAGACTGTTGTACCAACTACAAGAAACTGTGCAAAGGTTTGCAACTTAAAATACCCTGTATGTCCTATAATTCTTTAAATGTTGGGCCTTCAGATAACATTTATTTTGTGCGACATTACACAACATTATTCAAATAGGTTTTGTACCTTTACCTGCTTGTCAATAAGGAGATACGGGCCAGTTTTTATTAATCTACATATTACAAAGATTAAAAAAACAAACAGAAGCAAGTTTACATTGAATTAACGCATTGTTAAAATTGTGGATAAATCTTGATGTTAGAAAAATACACTTTTCAATCAAAAATATGTTTAGTTTCTTCCTTACATTTTTTCTTTTCTAACATTAACGTCCTTGGCTATCATATTGGTATAATCAGATAGACAAATGGTAGTGGTAATGGCCTTGAAAATTTCTATCAGTGCACCAGAGTTTTTAAGAAACTGCACCTTCAAAATGCCTTTAAAAAAAAAAAAACCTTTGTTGAGTGGCCAAACCTCTGTTTACATGTGGTGGAGAGGGAGAAATTTAGAGAAGATGTTCGCTTTGCAAAATATCCACATTGGTGTGGACAAAGCTTTTAGTTTTAATGGTGAAACCTGTTTAAATTTTGTAATGCATAAAGCACCTGATGCTTAGCAATAGCTTATATTTGATTCATTTTTCAGACTTTTCTCGGTTCTAATCTCTAGAGTAGCTTTACCTTCTTGGGCCTAAAATGAGTTGTTTACATAAATATTTTTAATTTCAGAAGGAAAATGTCTCTTTTTGGTGACAATGACAAAACCTGTCTAAGGGGCATTAATAGATGTTTTTTTTTTTCCACAACCCAAAAAGGTTGTGAAAAGTTAGTTAAATCTTTAACTATGTGTTGTGTTGTTCACGTTTTGTTTCTGCTTTGTTTTTTTCACATTTAAGTCCTTGTAGATATAGTGGAGTCGAAGAGTGTAAAGTAGCATAAAGTAAAGTACTGCAGAACTGTCCTTAACTATGTGAGCATGCATAGCTTACTGTGATCATACATCACTTTATCTCTGTTAATCTCTCTGACCATATTCCTTCAGGAGACACTTCATGGCTGCAGGATGAATGTGAGGACATCAAGACTGCCGATTGTCCTGCTGGGTATGTTTAAATCAAAGGGGAAGAGGGCTGAACAAGGTTGACCACGTTTGATTTCATGCATTTTTTTCTCTAATGGTGCATGTGCAGGTTTGTGCGTCCACCGCTCATCATGCTTTCAGTGGATGGATTTAGAGCTTCGTATGTGAAGAGAGGGAGCAGCGTCATACCCAACATTGAGAAACTCAGTAAGACCTGCACAGGAGGGATTATTTAGAAGAGGGATTTTGCTTTAGTTTTACCCTGTCAGTGGTAAGAAGTGGGGAGGATGTGGTGCATTGTGGACAGATTTATGGAGCAGCAAACAAAGACAGACCATTTCCAGTGGATTCTGTACCATTAGTGAGTGCATCTGCACTAATCTAGGATTTTTTTTGTTGTCCTTTTTTAGGAACATGTGGAACCCATGCTCCCTACATGAGGCCTGTTTACCCCTCCAAAACCTTCCCCAACCTCTACTCACTGGCTACGGTAGGTTTTGGCACAGAGCACTTACTTTGTCATCACTAATTAAGACTATACCACGTAGTGTTATTGTCACAACCCTACAACAAACTGCTGTTGTGCTCCAACTCTCTCATCTTGAAGATGTTCTTATTGTTTCTGTTGCTGTATGATGCCGCAACTATTGTGACAGGGAAGGCTCTTACAAACATCAAGCAAAACCTCAGCTCCTGTTAGCTCCTGTTTTGGCAAAACCCGGATAGTGTTCATTATATGTCTCTTTGATTGGACTTGCTACATACTCTGTCTGCCATTATATTCTTTTGTATATTACAACTTGCAATAGATGCAAAACTAAAAAGCAAAGTGAATGAGGCAAAATACATAAATGGTGTTTTATGGATTTGGAGAGGTCTGTGTATTTGCCTCACTCATGCCAGACAAACTATCTTTTTGTGCTCTCTGTAATGGTTTTGGACCAATATTGTTGTTGAAATGTGAAACACAGCCTAAGGTTCAGACTTTTATATATTTTTCATAAAGCAGGAGCTTTGAGGTTTCCTCTTATTTGCTGTGAGATTTCTTCGGGCAGCAGGAGAGCGTGAGACAGCCTGAAAGTAGCTCAGGCCAAGAAGGGAGAGAGTTGGCAACTCTGTATTATCAACAGGTATAGCATGCTAACATCAAGCTTAAGCTCAAAATACAGCTTAGACTGAAGAAATCTGAACTAAGTCTGGTAACATGAAGTTAAACTTATCAAGTGGTGAACCCTAGCTCACTTGTCGTCTTAACTAGTTTTGTATGTAAAATTTATAATGTAAATAATGCCTATTGCTGCTGAATAAATGTAGGGTAATATAATCTACTGTGGCTCCCTCGGAAATGCAGTTCAGGGGAAGTACAGTTAGAAAAAACTAATTAAATGACGTACAAGTACCTTAAAAATGCTGTAAAATGACTACCAATTGCACTGAAAATATGAAATTCACACACTTACGCTGATCTTTAAATATTTGAAGGTATCACAGGATATAGAATTAATTCAGTACAGTTGTGAAATGGCAAACTTCATTAACTTTATAATTTTGAATCTGTCTTAGGGTCTCTACCCAGAGTCTCATGGTATTGTTGGAAACTCTATGTTCGACCCAGTGTTTGATGCAACTTTCACCCTGAGGAGCCGAGAGAAACTGAATCACCGCTGGTGGGGAGGACAACCAGTAAGTACAATTAGGAAACGGGAAACACTTTCCTTATGAAGCACCTACAGCAGGACTGAGGTCTACTAAACCAAACCAATTTAATCGACTTTATTATCCACTTTAATAGTAGATGTTAACATGTTATTAATGAAAGCTTAGATCACTCTTTGCTCAATAACAAGACCAAAATCCTGAATTTATAGTTTTTGTGGATTTACTCAAAGAACAAACCTGGACTAGAATACACAATTTGTTCTGAATATTAAGTCAGGATGCATCGTTAACTACCATGGCTTTACCAGTATCTTTCAAAATACTTGACAAGCACCAGCAACCCACGATGTATGGTTTTGTATTAGATGCAGGAACAGAAGTTAGTTTCTTCCCACACACAGTGGGATAATCTTCTCAGCACACTGTAGCATACACTGACCTTGGATTCCTCATTTTCATGTTATTGTTTGTGTTCAGGGTAATGCTTCAGCAGTATCCTAATAAACTAATAAACTGTGTCAGCCTGATAAAATAATGAGACTGCACTGTTTGTCTAGATCTGGATCACAGCACTCAAACAGGGAGTGAAGGCTGCCACCTTCTTTTGGCCCGTGTAAGTCAGCAGACACACACATACATACACATAACCTTGAAGTTGTGGGCTGGTAAAATAGTGTCTCAACTGAAATAATCCTTCAAATTAGGACAGTCAAGGCTCTGCATAGAAAAATAATTCCCAGTGTCATTCAATCTCCGTTTGTTGACTCATGGACGTTAGATGTCCAGAACCATGACTATGTAAAGTTCTGTATTGTAATGTACTAACCCCAGTTGAAATATTTTTTTTAAATCAGATATGTTGGATTTCCAGCTTTCTTCAAAAAGCAATATGCAGATATGCTACCATACCTCTGTCTTAAGCCCTATCTGAGCATCTTTTTAGGAGAGTATTAATACTGAAACACAAAAAAAAAACACAAAAATTGCTAGTTGGGAGTGGTATTTTCCAGCTCCGAGTGGAATGGAAATAATAAATGACATGAAACAAACATTGACCGCGTGTAGGCTGGACCATTGCAACACACTGCTGCACTGGGCAGCAATAACACAATGGTAAACTAATAATGTATACGCTCTGTTTCACATGGTCTGATTTACTTAAGAATAATTGACTTTGGCATACTGTATTAATGGATCACTTTGCTCAATTACAAGTAAAATAGAGTTTAAACAACCTTCACAGGGAGTTTATTACACCAAATTTTGCTAAATTGGATTTGTTTGTTTAAGCAAGGTGACCTAACAACCTTAGAATAGAATCTGATTCACTGTAACTAATGTAATGTGAGTGTGTATTGTTTGGTATATTTTACGAGCTCAAACAGTGTGATGTGTGATGACTCTTTCTGCTGACCAGAGCTTCTTGTGCCAATAAAGCCAAGGGTTTTACTGCTGTCGACAGTGTACAGCCAAAGTGAAGACATTAGAACTATGAAATACCATATATTGAATATTGGGTAAACAAAAGAAAATATATTTTACATTTTAGTTTTCAAAGTAGGCACCTTTGGCTTTGATACCAGCTTTGCTCACTCTTCATTCTCTCAACCAGCTCCATCACCTGGAGCTTTTTCAGCAGTTTTGAAGGAGTTCCCACATATGCTGAGCACTTGTTGGCTGCTTTTCTTCTGCACCTGTTGATAGAAAACCATTCCAGGTGTAAGCTGGTTAACATACTGCCAACATTGTGCCAAGCTGTCTCCAAGACAAACAGTGGATAGTTTGAGGAATCTAAAATATGAAACATATTTCAGTTTCACACTTTATTGTTTCTCACACTATTCCATTTGTGCTATGATGGATGGAGTAAACAAATGGGGTAATGTGGTAATGTTTGTCCTCAGTTTGTTCTGGATTTTAGAAAATAGTAAAAACAAAGAAAAGCCCTTAAATGTGTAGGTGTTTTTTTTTTTTGTTTTTTTTTTAAGCTTTTGACCATAGGTATGTCCACGCTTATAATAATCAGCTGAGTTACATATCACTGACATTACTTAGAGGACTTAGCCCTAATGATCATTTGGCATTTTTCCTCACTTTCCTAATCAAAATGTAAACCCTCCACAGTTTAAATAAACATGTTTGGTGATAATGTGTCGTAAATTATTTGGTGGTGATAGTTGTCCAAGTCATTAGAACATGCCCGTTCATGTTCCTGCTGTGCATTCAGGCTGCTTGACCTGCAGCCTATGTGGAACACAAAGGAGCCCACATTTATCAGCACAGAGACGGCTTTTATGAAGTGGGAGGTACATTTTGGCAGTGGGATGGCGCTGGGCTGTTTTTACAGCAATTTGTGCAAATGGGCCTGTTTACACTGCGCAGGATTCCTCTGTGAACCAGGGTCGCAGACGTGCCACTCCGTAGAACCACTGGGGCCAAAGTGTGGTTTACGTTGCTTTTCTTGCACTTGGCACTGACAGAGGTGTGTGAGAAAGAGACATGAGTGTACATATGACAGAGAGTGGAAGTCTCTGCTGACATTTGTGTGTGCCAGAAAAAGACTTTTTATACAACGCATTACATAGTTTGGTGATATAGTACCACTGTGGGCATTGGCATGGTAATGGGGACCGGGGATTGTTGCTAAATGACTGGCTGACTAGTTGAAGGTCTGTGCTGGGTTCGGCTTTCTGGGAGGCCACCACATTAAGAACAAGCAGAGAAAAGGGAAGTATAGAAAAAACGAAAGAGAAAAAGAGAGGTTGAGTGTATAAAACACACAGTAGGAGGAGGGAAAATGGAGTTGAAAGTGTCAACATAGACAAAAGCACAGAATGAGAGCAGACATGGAGAGAAACGCCTCCTGTCAAGTGTTAAAACAGTGTGACCACACCTTGGTGTTCCCCTATACCCCCCTCCCACCATGCCTCGTACATCAAGCCCCGTTCACCGCCTCAGTCCTGGGCTTGATGGTTGACAGCTGTGGACTGTATGACAGCCAGCAGCTTGGTTGGTGGCCTCATCACTACACAGGCAGTCTTTGACTGTGAGACACTTTAAACAGCAAGAGGGCTTTAAATTTGTTTTACTCTACAACCCTCAACTTAATGAGACTCTGAGAGTTAAAGGAACAATTTGGAGTTTAGTGGTTTATTGGTTCACAAGGGCAGCAGGGTATCAGAATTTGAGTCAGGTATGTTACCCACCTTCAGTGGGGTTTAGACGCGCCCACTCATTTAAGGGATTTTCCTTATACCTACTGTTTGTCTTGATGTTTGCACAGTCTTGGCAATATGTTAACTAGCTTCATGAGGTCTTTTTTTCAGTTAACTGGGAGCCTTTGGGCATTTGAGACCATCAGTTGTGTACAGCAAATAGCTCTGTTATTTTAGTAATTCATGATATGGCAAATGCAGTCACAAAAAACATCAACCACTGTTGAAGCTGTCTCTCATTAGGACAGTCCCCAAGTTCCCTCTGCTGCAGAGGAGAAGTTCATTGCAGTTACCAGCCTTAGAAATCAACAATAAACAGCACCTCAGAGTAGAGCCCACATCAGTGGTTCACGGAGTTGAAGCAGCAGATGCATGTCACCAACGGCTGCTCGGAGGAGACTGTGGTACTGCTTTGGTGGTGACATTATTAAACATTCATGGTGAAACTGTTAAACATTCATTTAAAGGCAGCTCTTGCCCAATATGGTTACCACAACGTTCTGCAGCGACACACCATGTGTTTTGAGGTTAGTGGGACCATCATTTGATTTTCAGCAAGAGAACTGCAACACACCTCCAGGCTCTGTAAGGGTTTTTTAACCAGGAAACATTGATGGAGTCAGATGAGCTAGAGCATAGTGAAGAAAAAGCAGCCAACAAGTCAGCATGTGTGTGTGTGTGTTTTTTTTTTTGAAAGTATTATCCGACACAGTTTGTCATTGTGTATATGTGTTCCAGTGCCATCCCTTTGGAGAGAAGGATACTTACCATGCTGCAGTGGCTCCACCTTCCTGAAGGAGAGAGGTGAATTCAGTTTTACTTTTTGTTTTTGTCCGTTTGACATTTGTCTTCTACATTCTTTAGAGATAGAAATTAAAGTGTCTTTTTCACTCTAATTTTCTTTAGGTATTGCTACCACTACTTTTATGGTTACAACTATTGTTGCTGTTACTGTAACACTATGACTGCCACTACAACTGTTAAAATCAACCAACTACTTTTAAGTAGTAGTAGTAGTGTTCCTGTTATACATTGTTGTTACTTTCTTTTGGAGTATAGCTGTTATTACCATGAGGCATTTTTACTCCATGACTTCATATTAGGGCTGCAAGGTGACGCAGTTGGTTAGCACTGTTGCCTTGCAGCAGGAAGGTCGCCAGTTCGCGTCCCGGTGGGGGCGCTGGGATCTTTCTGCATGGAGTTTGCATGTTCTTCCTATGCAGCGTGGGTTCTCTCCAGGTTCTCGGACTTCTTCCCACAAGTCCAAAAACATGTTGAGTTTAATTGGTACTTCTAAAGTGTCCATAGGTGTGAATGTGAGTGTGCTTGGTTGTCTGCCTCTAAGTGTAGCCCTGCGACAGACTGGCAACCTGTCCAGGGTGTCCTCTGCCTTCACCCTAAGTTGGCTGGGATAGACTCCAGCCCCCCGCGACCCTCATGAGGATTAAGCGGTGTATAGATAATGGATGGATGGATGGATGGGCTTCATATTAAATTAGACTACCAACCCTCTTAAAGCCCTCCAATCAAATTCAATTGGTAGCCCAAACTTGTTGTTAACATTGAGTATCACATAGTGTCTAAAACCTTTAGTTTACTGAAAGTACAGCTATGTTAAAGTATTTTGTTTTCTTATTCTTCTGTCAGCTCACAACCTCATAAATAAGACAAAAGCTGGATCTGACATTAAACTGTAGAATAAAGTAATAAAACTGGTCCTGCTAAAAGCTAACTAGCATTGGTTAGCATTGCCCTTTGACACTTTTTTGATGTGTTTAAATTGCGATTCATTTATTGAACCATCCCCTTGGTACAAAAGGACAATAGAAAGCATCTTTTATTCTACCAAATGAAGTGTTTAAAACAGTCATGTGTTGCTCTCTGTACCAAAATGTGCCACTATATTGGCAGCGGTGTCAAAAAAATTCAAACAATCACAACACATCTTTAGTTCGACTTGCTTCTTGTTCCAGGCCCTATGTTTATGCCATGCACTCTGAACAACCAGACACGTATGGACACAGAGTGGGGCCCCTGAGCATAGAAGTGAGTACTGTGTATCTACATGTGCACTTGTATATGTATATTGTGGCATGTGTGTGGAAAGTACACACTAAATCACACAAATCAAAAAGACTCCAGGCACATTTTGAAGATCGCAACTCCCTTTGTGTGTTCCAGCTGAACAACCCTCTGAGGATGATTGACAGGATCGTTGGCCAGCTGATGGATGGGCTTAAGCAGATGAAGCTGCACCGCTGTGTCAACATCATCCTGGTGGGGGATCATGGTACAGGAGCACGCGCCAGCACAAACACAAGCAGTGGTATTAAATTATCATGCTGGAAGATTGTCCAGACGGCCCCAGTTCACACAGCAAAAGGGCTTGCACAGAAGAACATTACTTCATTAATGTTGTGGTGTAATTGCATTTTGTCAAATCTGAATCATTTTAAATCTAATTACAAATAATATTTTTAAGCTTCTTTTTTTTTTTTTTTTTAGCTTTTATTATCTGTGAGTCACTCAAGTTTGAAGTAACTTAAAGTCAAGGATTCAGTTTAGATATGTCAGAAACTACTGCAGTTTTAGGGACAGGTATTAAATTACTTAATATTAATATTGATGAAGCTAGCCTAACAAGTGTTGACAACCTGTAGCTGCAGTGGGACTTTCCTGTATTTAAGGTGCTGCAATCAGCTGAATGTTTCTGTACACTCTCAGTCTGTTGAACTACACAAAGTTCAGTGGCAGTAAAGTGATTCCAGAGTTACACATCTTTTCTCTCACAATCTTTGGCTTTCAGTTTAAGTGGCCATGTCACACCATCAGCATTCAGCAGGTACAGCTGATATTGTTTCCATGCATGTCAAAATGACGATCCTGGAAAAATAAAGGGTTTCATAGGACACTGGTTAGAGTTTAAAAAATTCTGGGTATATTATTTATTAGGAACCAGATCCAAAATGCAACCAGCTTTCATAACCCAGCAATAGGCTTAGGTTTTATCAGTCATTTGCACACAGTCCCACTCACGTTCCTGTGTACTCTCAGGTATGGAAGAGGCCCACTGTGATCGCACCGAGTTCCTCAGTAACTACATGACCAGTGTTGATGACATCATCCTCATCCCTGGGTCTCTTGGCAGAATACGCTCCAGATACCCCAACAACCCTAAATGTAAGAAAGCAAGAGAATTTTTTTGTGCTTCTTTTGTTTCTGTGTTGGGCTGCAAGGTGGCTCAGTGGTTAGCACCGTTGCCTTGCAGCTAGAGGATCCCCTTTTCGTGTACCGTTGAAGACACCTGGGATCTTTCTGCGTGGCGTTTGCATGTTCTCCCCGTGCAGCGTGGGTTCTCTCCAGGTTCTCCGGCTTCCTCCCACAGTCCAAAAACATGCCAAGGTCAATTGGTGATTCTAAGGTGTCTGTAGGTGTGAATGTGAGTGTATTTGGTTGTCTGTCTCTAAGGGTAGCCCTGTGACAGATTGGTGACCTGTCCAGGGTGTCCCCTGCCTTCACCCTGAGTCAGCTAGGATAGACTCCAGCCCCCCACGACCCTATTGAGGATCAAGCAGTGAATAGATAATGGATGGATGGTTGGTTTCTTTATTGTGATTCTCTCAGTTATAGTTAGGATACATTATCCAGGAATGCTGTCCTCACTTATTCATACAGACCTCAATGTAGTCTGAACCTCTGGTCCATTACACCTCAATCAACAAACATGCCACAATAATTTGAAACCTACGAACAAAAGGCCTCTGACCTGATCACTGGCAATGTGCACAGTACATCCAGTACAGTGGATGCTGCTAGAAACCTTGTTTTGTCAGACCACATTAATGGTTGTGCAGCATGGTGTTGCAATGGTTAGCACTGTCGACTCAATTAGTAGGTCCTGGGTTTGACTCTATGTAAGCCCTCTACAGGAAAAAGTGGGTATGGCAGATGGATGGATGAAAATCAGTGCTTCATCTAACCCTTGAACATTTAAAATATACAATGCAATACCTTGTTTTATTGTGTAACTTCCAAAGAATTATAAAGGCTTTGTGGCAGTTTTCACTGTTCTAACCATTGTTCATTTTTCAGATGACCCTAAAGCTGTTGTTGCAAATCTAACGGTAAGTACCAGGTTTTTCTGACAGAGTTTGAGTTAAGTGTATACTGTGTGAAAAATAACATATTGTAAATTTTAAGAAGAAACTAATTATGCTCTTGTAATAAAATACTGAGAGGTGATGTGTCTGTCGCCTCTGTGATTGGCCCTTCTAACATCAACATACCACTGATTGTATTTTTCTTCTAGTGTAAGAAAACAGACCAGCACTTTAAGCCATACTTGAAACAGCATCTGCCTAAGAGACTGCATTACGCCAACAATCGCCGCATTGAAGAGATTCACCTGCTGGTTGAGAGGAAGTGGCATGTTGCCAGGTACAGTACCAGCACTACAGTCCATATAACAGCAACCTGTATTTAGAAGCTAAACAGGACATTTGTAAAAATAAGTGGAAATGGACTAAACCTCTTCACTGCACACAAAGACACTTTAATTCTTATCCTAGACCTGTGTAAAATGTTTTACAAGTGTTCCAAGACCAGACAAAATTGACATCCATTGATTGTTTCAGTGTGATGTTCATAAGAAAGTGTTATCGTTGCAACTAAATGTCTATGCAAGGCTCTAGAACACTAATACACTCTTCTTCACCAGTTCATTTGCAGACACCTAAAACCTATGGATGTGAAGTGGAAAACCACAGAAAATTTAATTTTATTAAAGAAATGATGGCTCTTCTGACCAGCTTAAAATATTGGGAAAATATCAGAAAAGGCCTCCTTACTAAAGCTATGTAGCGAACTAATAATGTGAGGAAAAACCTGAAAAGACAGCCAATAGTTGATTTTTTTTAAAAATCCAAAGCAGTCAGTCTGCAGATAGAGATGGAGATTTAGTTCTGTTTTAAAATAATAAGAAACTGCCTTGCGTACAGTCAGTGTGGATGTGGCATTCTCAGCCCACCGTCTGTGAAGCTTTTTACTGCACATCTTGCATTACTTAAAGGCACATTTTATGCCAGTGTGGGCTGCTATCAACGCATCATTAACACATGCAGTGCTGAAAAGCTGTACGATGTGCTGTCCCAAGTCACACATGTAAAAAAAAAAAGCAGATAATTTTCAAGGCAGCTGCTGAAATGTTAATGACATGCTAAAATGAACTCTGACAGGTGTTTGATGTAGAGCAGTGAAAAGCCTTACTGCAGTGATTCAGTGACAAAGTAAACCATGAAGTCATCATGACTGAAAGTGAAAACAAACCACCACAGCTAAACCTGTGTGTGTGTGTGTGTGTGTGTGTGTGTGTGTGTGTGTGTGTGTGTTTAATAACAGCTATCTAGCATGTAGCTGGCATGCTGTTTTGCTTAGTGAACCGTGGGAGAGCTACATTCTGTCTCTCAAGTTCACACACACACACACACACACACACATGCAGGGCTGCTAAATGAAAGAGATCTTTGAGGTTTCTGTGCAGCTCAGATAGACAGACGGGCTAATCGTTTGCACTGGAGCTGTGAGCAGAGTGCTGGATCGTTTACACACTCCCTCTCCCTCACATACACACAGGCACATGTACATTAGTCGATGTCTGTGTAAATCCCAAACCAACTTACTGTTCGCACCAAATGAAACACAGTTTGTCTTATTTCCCCCGTCAGCTAGTCATTTACATTTTCAACGTGCTTGTGGCTTTACCCCCTTGACACACGCACCCGTGCTTAGACACATACTTTAAGGTGTATAACTGGAAGTAGTGTTTTAAAGGACACTTGCTAAAAAGTTGTTTTGGGGTTTTTTAATTTTATTTGTTGAATTTTTTTGTGCAATTAGAGAACTATGGCTTGAGTTGTTTGAAAGTGTGGCGTCCTGGGCTGAACTGGTGTTCAAGAAAAGTGCATCAGTCAGGCATTTCACATTTCTGACATAACACCCAGTCTATCACAGGGCTACACTTCGAGACAGACAACCAAGCACACTCACATTCACACCTACGGACAATTTAGAATCACCAATTAACCTCACAATGTTTTTGGATTGTGGGAGGAAGCCGGAGAACCTGGAGAGAACCTACGCTTCACGGGGAGAACATGCAAACTCCTGCATTAAATCCCTGTTGTTAATTTTTTTGACTTTTGTAGTGGCACTATTACATGTTTTTGTAGTGTATTTGTCAAGAACGTGCTTGGAAATTGATGAGAATATTTTGAAAAACCCAAACTTTTGTACTGTTTCTTCCTTTTCTGTTGTGTTTTGCCCATGTTCCCATACTTAAAAACAATCGCAACTTGCCATAGTTGTCTGTATTCACAGACTGAGACCTAATGGTGGAATAATACACTCTAATGATACTAGGAATAGGTTCTACGTTATCAGACATAGAAAATCTATGTTACAGTTAATAATACAAGATTCTTATGGATTTCATTCTGCCATATTAATCCAAACTGCCAGTCAAAAACATTACTTCAGTCACTCACAACATTCTCTTTACTTCAACCTTTCATTTAGCCCAGGTTCTGCATATGTGTTGTCCACTGTTAACCACACAGACCGCAGGGTACAGAACACAGACTTCTCTATGTAACAGCAGATTTATCCCCTTAAAGCAAGGAAAAGACACTAAACACCTAGCCTGTTACAAATACACAGAGACACCACTGAAATTCTGACCCATTGTCCATTACAGGAAAGTCCCTGAAGGGAGGAGGCACTGTGGCTTCTCTGGGGACCATGGATATGACAATAAGATCAACAGCATGCAGGTACTGACAAGACTGTCGTTCTTTATCACAAGTATATAGTTTCCAAGGTGCTGTAATATTAGAATGTAAAGCTGAAACAGTGATAACAATGAACATGCAAATAGATGTAGAGTGTGTACATCCCATACAGGTAAAAAGCATGTGTGAAGATAAGACAGTCTTAAATCTTGTAAATCTAATGTATAATTTTCAATGATTGAACAAATAATTCTGGGGTGTTATGAAAATAGATCTTTTTTTTCTTGTTTTTTTCCTCTAACAAATCATGTGACCTGTGTCATTACCTTCCATTTTCAGACTATTTTCTTGGGGTATGGACCTACATTTAAATTCAAGACTAAAGTTCCAGCCTTTGAAAACATTGAGCTTTACAATGTCATGTGTGGTAAGTAGTATTTTGATGTGTGTGTGGGTTTAGATAGATGTGTCAGAGTGGGAGTACAAGTGTTTAATTTTAAACAATTTCATGTTTAAGCTTGAATATGTGCTTTGGCTAATGACATAATAAATGGTGTTTATGAGTGACTACTAACATTTAGTCTTTTAGCTGACCGCAGACTGATTTGTTCCACTCTCAGATCTTCTGGGTCTGAAATCAGCCCCCAATAATGGAACCCACGGCAGTCTGAACCACCTGCTCAGAAGCCCCCCATACAGACCCACCATGCCAGAGGAGGTTTCCAGGCCAACAGCAGCCGGTCTTGTTCCTTCAGGAACAGATGACTTGGGCTGCAGCTGTGATGAAAAGGTCAGCCGTGATGTCTCAGTGGCAGACCTGGGCCCAGCTTGCTGTAGACTGCTAAAAGGAATAATGTTTTTTAGGAGATTGCCTTGTCTGTCAGCTTACTTACATTAGTGATAACAACAGTGAAACCATAATCAACATGGTCTTCTTCGCCTGTAATGGTGCCCCCTGCTAACTATAAGTTATGTTAGGTGATAGCAAATTCCTTTCAAATGTGTAATTTGCTAAGTTAATCAATAGGTGATTATTTTGTGATCAAACTTGCAAGTTGTAGCCCTCTTATGTGAGCAGTAAAATCATATGTATGTAAGATACTGTGCAAAAGTTTTAGGCACTTTAAATTATTATCCGTCAATAACACCAGGGAGGCATCCGATTAGCCCAGATTTTCTGCAGCATGACACAAAACACTCAACAGTAGTCATAAAGATCTATCTTTGGGAACAAGACCCCCAGAGATTCTTGATTCCAGCATCATGGAGTCAGTCTGGGATTACAAGAAGAGATTGATGACGCTGACACAGCCTAATTTCACAGAAGAACTCTAGTTAGTTCCTTAAGATGCCACCAACTATCTATCTGCCAAGTACCCTGAAAAACTGTACACAAGTGTATCAAAGATAGGTGGTACTGTTTTAACGACACCATGGCTTTATTTTTTAAAAGTTCACTGGACTTTTAGTGCCTAAAATTTTTGCACAGTACTATAAGGGGATAAGATATGAGGGGACTATGAGGAACTTCTCACCCTAACAAGAAGACCATCTCCAATCCAAAGACTCAGAATGGAGTCAGTATTTGGAATGAGATGAGAAAGATGAAACATAAAGATCATTTGATGTATCTTTTTGCAAACAGGACCAGTTGATTATTTTGGCTGCTAAAAGTTGCCACTAGAATTTGAGTACAAACCTGGTATTCAGGAACAAACAAATTTAGAGTTCAGTTAAACTGCTGTGAGAAAAATGAAGATCTTGAGTTCAAAAGAGAAAGCAAACTAATTCAAATTCTCTTTATGCAGTCAAGATAGCTGGAACTGTCCTGATGTTCAGTTTGTTAAGTAGAACTTTGTGGAAAGAATGTCTTATGGTGAGATTGTCTGGACTGTATCTCTAACACAAGCCTAATAGATTACAAACCCAATGATGATAGACAATACAGACAAGAATCTCAAAAATGCCAACCAAACATTTTGTTTGGTTGACACCCCTTGAGGTGTCAGTGCAGATACTCTCACCACAAAATAGGAGACATTTTTTTCTGTGTTTAAGGTTTCATCAGAAAACATGGTGGGCAGTGCACTTACATGGAAGTACTGTTTTATGTTAAACCCCCCAGTCATTGTGCAAAAAAAGAGACAGAAATCAGTTGTGGCACACATGAAAATGTAAAATTTGGCCATAAATCACTGCCAAGAAGCCACTGCCCTCCTCCTGTTCCCAGCACCAATCACTAACCATTAATGGACCACATTGATACTGGGAATACTGAGACCAGTTGGTCTTGCCTAGTTTTGTAGTACAGTAGTACAGAGTGGGACTCTTTGGGCTGGTTGGATGTGTGTTGCTCTGTGAGATTGATTTTAGCAACTGACACAACACAGCTAGTGACTGAAGGTTCTTCAATTTTTTGTTTGTTTATTTTTTTGTAGAACTTTTGCTTTTACAGTGCAGCTAAACTTGTCTTTTACACAGCCAACCTGTAAAAAGAGTCATCTGCATGGGCCTATCATCCATGAATATTTGATCATTTGTGTCTGCTTAATTTAAAAGAAAAAATGTATCAATACCTGATTTCTTTGTTGTGTCTTCCTTGAGAGCTGAGGTTCTCAGGAAAGACACAGAGAGCTGAAATAACCTTGTTGCTTCTTTGCTTTCTGCTGCAGAGCTGGAGTCAGTTCACTTTCAGTTCAGTCAAATCATTAACTCAAATCTATAGTTCATTTACTGACAAATTGGCTCTTCTGTCTTTCCACATTCACATTTAATAGGCCTCTTAGTCTAGACCAAATCAGTGTGTGTAGAGTTGTTTGGATTGAGGTGAATTAGACCCAGCCCTGCCCGCACTGTTTCACTTCATCTACACTGTGTTTGTGATTCCCATGTAGATCTCTGGCAAGAGATTGTTTCAATCTCCGATCTTTTTGCAGTTGCGTGTAAAAAGTAGGGGCCAGAGAGGTTTGAAAGTGACCCTTGTACGAGGCTATAACCTGGAGTCACTCTGGCTCTGTCTCTTACAGAACAAAGTGGAGGAGCTAAACCACCGACTGAGGCAAGCTATTGATGGTCAGTTTTTCATGATGCCACTAAAATTGTCATTGTCAAGTGACCTGTTCTTTATACAGGTATACCAGCCATAGATGATAAAACTAAACTAAAGATAAACAATGTAAAACTTGCTTTTAGTGTCTTTTTGATTTTCCTTCTGTTAAGTGAAACTGCATCATGATGAATCATGGATTTTAGTTTTCATGTGTTGCTGTAGGTTCACTGCAGTGTGAATTTTTGTAAATGTGTCTTGTTACACTCCTGCCTCCCTGTGCTGTGTCCCTCTGTGCTCTTCCTCTCTCAGACAGCAGGAACCTGCCATACGGCCGACCTGCTGTCCTCTTCCGTACCAAATATTCCATCCTTCACCACAGTGACTACATCAGCGGCTACAGTGAAGCTCTTTCCATGCCCCTCTGGACGTCCTACACTGTTAGCAGACAGGTACTGCTCCGCCTGTACTTTGGCTTTTGAACTGTCAGCAAACAACTCGACCCTACAAAGGCATAGAGAAGGAAGTACAGAAACAGCTTGAGTTTATGTAGTTTGAAAACACTTTGTTAAACTGTGTCACTGATCAACAAGTAATCATTGCCACTTAAATTACATATAACCTAGGAAAATCAACTGTAGCTCCTGTATTCAGAACAATGAAATGGGTGCAACTAAAATGAAATGAAAATAAAACAATATGTCCCGCACTTCCTCTTTAGCTTTATTGTCCATTTGAATTAATGAACTACCTTAATAAGTTATCCCTCTCAACCCCAAAATTCACGGGCAGGTTTAAAAAAGACAAAATAAATCAATTTACACCACTTTTTAGAGCCAGAAACTGTCTGTGAATGAATCATGTGTAACATGCATGACCATCAGGAAGGGGACCCAAGTCTAAGCTCAAAGTCATAACATTTCTTTAAAATCATGTTAGTATATTTGTCTCATTTAAAAATTCACCAAAAATAGGCCATTTGTGTGAACCACAAAAAAAATATGTGCTTCAGCTGTAACCAACAGTTGCATGATAAAAAAATACCAACACTTTTTGCCTTCACTACTTGGCGCTCATGTAATGATTTTGTTAGAAGATATTTCACAACAGCAAATCCTGGGAATTCTACCAGAGCCAAAGCAAAGTTGCTCCTACATTTTTTGGAATGAGACAACCACCTTCAGACTCTGTCTCACGCCTTTTTGCTGCCTAAACAAAGCTAACGCTAAATAAGACGAAGCCTCAAAGCCTGTGAGAACATCCATCCATCCATCCATCCATCCATCCATCCATTATCTATACACCGCTTAATCCTCACTAGGGTCGCGGGGGGGCTGGAGTCTATCCCAGCTGACTCAGGGCAAGGGCAGGGGACACCCTGGACAGGTCGCCAGTCTATCATAGGGCTACACTTAGAGACAAACAACTATGCGCACTCACATTCACACCTATGGACATTTTAGAATCACCAATTAACCTCAACATGTTCTTGGACTTGTGGGAGTAAGCCGGAGAACCCACGCTGCACGGAGAGAACATGCAAACTCCACACAGAAAGATCCCGGTGCCCCCATTGGGACACGAACCGGCAACCTTCTTGCTGCGAGGCAACAGTGCTAACCAACTGCGCCACCTTGCAGCCCCCTCTGACAATATAGTTACAGTATTTAAACAGACTTTCTCTCTACACAAAACAAAGTGAAGGTAAAGGAAAAATAGCCTTTTCACACATTTCAGCACCAATATTGGTCCTTTAACATCACAGAGAGCACAAACATTGCCAGAGGTCCACACACAGAGAGACTCTCCAAAATCAGAAAAACCTTTCATGTGTGATGTCTTTTTTTTTTTCCACTACAACTACAATTTTGGATCTTTTACTAACTGAATGTCCATAAAAAGGCTCGACACAGTCTGTAAGTAAGTTTTTACAAAACAATAACAAGACCTGAAGTTTATTTTGTTGTTCACAGCTGTTTCCTTTCGATATTCATACAAACCGCAGTTCGGAGGAGTCTCTACCTGCAGCATCAATCACACACATTTACAACATGACACAACAGTGATAGCTTTAGTATGTATAACTATTAGTTATCTCCAACTGGGCAGGGTCTAACAGCAAAGCAGAGTCTACTCCAGCTGATTTGCCACACAGTATCACAGTTCATCGTCTATAGTTGCATCACTTTTTAAACAACAGCCGTCCTTCAGTTGAGTCCTGAGTTCCATCACTGCTGTCAGGACATTTTCGTTGTGCTATTATTAAAATTCAGATTTATGACTAAGCTCCATTTAGGTCAGATAATTCCATTGTCTTGGTATTTCTTGTTTTTTTTTTTTAAAGTGCCCTCTGCTTGCAAAAAATCCAAAAACATATTCCCTTGTCTGTAGCTTTTTCCTTGCTCTTGTTTGTTAAGCTATAGAACTGCTGAAAACACCCGATGCTTTAAATCAGATGTCAGCAGCCCTGTGTTCTCTGTGTTCGTGTGTGTATGTATGTTGTCCTCCAGGTAGAAGTATCTCCTCTGCCTGAAGCTCTGTCTAACTGTGTGAGACCAGATGCCAGAGTCCCTCCGGCCTACAGCCAGTCTTGTACCAACTACAGAGCAGACAAACAAATCACATACGCCTTCCTGTACCCACCACGTAGGTGCACCACCACACACAGCTTACACTGACATACAACTTGCCTGGGAATATTTTAGCTAATGTCAAGAGTGAAACATTTTCATATTCAGTCTTACATTACAGTACATACAGACCAAGAAAAGCTTAAATGGAAAAAATCAATAAATAAATAAATTGTGACCAACGCGTTCTTACATCAGTCAAACTTTACAATGTATTCCCAAGGTGATTCTTGTCCTTCTTATTTGTTCAATTAAGGATCCCAAGATATCAACAAATGTTGGGTGGCTATTATATGGAGCTTACCAAAATTCTTTAAACAAGAAACAATGTCAATCAGCTTTTTTTTTCTTTTTTTTTTTTAAAGCAGAGGGACAACTATTTTCCAGTCTCTCAGGAAGAAATGCTTGCTGTAATGTTACAGAAGGAGTCGGAGGATAGTTTAAGCAACTCAGTATCACAAAGAGACTGTCAGGAATCAGCTGTCTCACTGAGCACTTCACTAGGAGTACCTGTACACTTGCTAAGTCATGGAGTTATTTAATCAGCTAATCATATTGCAGCAGTGCAATGCATGAAGTCCTGCACTTAATGTCCACATCAAAGAACCTTCACATCAGTGAATACAGCAGGATTGTTGGTTTGAGTGTCAACTGTTATGCAGATAGAAGAACCTCTTTGATTCAAGGAGAGAGGCCAGACTGGTTGGAAAAGACAGTACCACAGATAAAACACCTCAAGGTGGAAGAGCTCCAGCAGCCAAAGACCATGTCAGGTTCCACTCCAGTCAGCTGAAAACAGACATCTAAGAGGCAATACTACAGAAATCAGTAGAAGTTGTGGAGAGGGTGCAGAGGAGGAACAAAGCAATGAAGCAAGTGAGAGGGGTCCAAACAACAGAGACCCATGGAGAAAAGAAGATTCTGTTTTTCTTTTATCATTATGGCCAAATGGCCCTGATGAGGAATCGAGAGGACTTCAGTGAACGTAGTGTTGTGTGTTTTTTACAGAGTCATGAAACAGGAAGTGCTCTGTATTCCATCAACAGCTTTCAAACAGGCAGGGCACGCAGGAATACATGTGAGACTGGCAATGAAAGAGACAGAGGGCTTGCTACTTTTATTATCAACACCCTGGTCACATTATGTGAATGTGAGCTGATAAATGCAGAAATGCGATGAATCATGACACCTAAAACTGAGGTCTGACTCAGTATCACTATGGTGTTCCTCATGAAGTGCTCAGTGACTGTATGACATTGTACATAAAAAATGCCGTCAGAGAAATGTTTGAGCTTGCAGCAAGAACACAATGCACAACACAATAGAGCTTAGTCTGGGAAAAGTGCAATCAATGCTTAAGTTGAAATAATAATTCAATACACACTAATCATCCTTTTCTTTGTTGACAGAACTTTCCTCAAACATGGACAAAAAATATGACGCTGTCCTCATCACCAACACTGTTCCCATGTATCCTGCATTCAAAAGTAAGTCATTTCTCCAGGGTTACATGACTGAAATCCTGCTGAATGATTTCATACTCCATACCCCGTCTGTCATCTTTCATTCCTTCCTTTCCTTTCACCCACATCCTTCTGTCCCTCAACGCTCCCTCTCTTCCTCAGGGATATGGGGCTACTTCCAGAGAGCACTGGTGAAGAAATATGCCACTGAGAGAAATGGAGTGAACGTTCTCATTGGACCCATATTTGACTATGACTACGATGGAGTCAGGGACTCAGCTGAGAAGATAAGAGAGTAGGAACATTCATTATGCTTCACACCTAATTCAGCCTCGCTACATCTGCACATATTTCTGTTTTATTTTATTTAGTTTTTTTTTGTTTTGTTTTGTTTTTTGGTAACATGACTGACATGGACCTTGTTACAACCCAAACCCAGGGTAAATTCACAAAAGGTTGACAACAAATTTAGCATTATTTACTGGGGAAAATTGTTCTTCTTTATTATAATGATTTGCACCTGCAAACTAACAGCACAAATTTACACCTGGAGTTACTGTACCTACTGTCATGTCATACTCATCAGCCTCTACTTGCCTATTCAGTTTCACCCTCAAACATATAGATATGTTTCTTTAAGGCAAACTAGTTAATTGCTTTCCACAATTCCCAGTAAAGATTCCATTTTTTAAATGGAATCTTAATTCTTGAAATCCATCAACCGATTGATTTCTTTCACCTGTATTCAAGACACCAATGTTTATATAGTTCTAAAAAAACCCAACAAATTCAGACTATTAAAATCATTGATAAAGATACAACTCTGGTTTTCTAAATATAGTTTTTCATTTGTTATTCAGTATATTAGAATAGGTTGCAGCTCATCAGCAGTGTCCAGTGAATAACCCGGTCAGAGTGTACCTGCTTGCATTGTGCCTCTGAAATAGACCAATAGTATCTTGGTGAAATGGTGTGTCCTGCGTTCTGGAAAGAAAAGCTTGTAACCTGGATAAAGTGTAATTAAAATCAGTCCCAACTCAGACTATCCACTAACATTAAAATCTTCTTTTTGAGATTTGTTGCAGGTATGTAAGTGGGACGATACCGATCCCCACACACTACTTTGTCGTCCTGACCAGCTGCTTAGACTTCACACAAGCTGTAGACTCGTGTAGTGGCCCGCTGAGCAGCGCCGCTTTCATCCTGCCGCACAGACCCAGCAACGATGAAACCTGCAACGTAAGGAGAATCATATCCTTAAATGCATTTCTATGTGTTCCCGATCCACATGAGGCCATTAGCTTTAAACAAATCCTGCAAAAATAAAATCTGAAATTTTAATTCTGCCTTCACCAGCAAAATCAATACATGAAGATGAGTCCATCACAATTATCTAAACAGTAAAATTTGACAAGAGCTGGAAAGGTCTTCCTTTATTACTCATTTGAAGTATCAAAAGAATAATTCTGATCAATTTTATAGAATTGTATCACTGAATTATAAGTGCTGATGTATTAATGTGTAAACAGTGTTTTAATATTGTGTTGCTTCACATTGTGTTGGGTAGTTTAGTGTAATAACACAATCTGTAACTTAGCCTGTATTACCAGCAGTCAGACTAATGCAGTGCAGTAAACAGCACTACAGTATTCTCCTTTGAAATCTACAACATCTAATGAAAAAAACCCTTGTGAAGCACAAGTACATTAGAATGGTACTTAATGCCAGTTTAAAAAATTCACAGTAAAAATGCACGATGTACCAAAAGCATCCACCTACTTGGTCAAATCACCGTGAGTGAGGTGACTTCTGAGAAAGGAAGACGTGTCCTCACTCATGCTGCTTGTCGTCCTTGCTGCCTCCCACAGAGCTCAGAGGAGGAGTCTCGCTGGGTGGAGGATCTGATGAAGATGCACACAGCTCGTGTCAGGGACGTGGAGATCCTGACCGGCCTGGACTTGTACCGAAGAACCACCCGGAGCTACGCTGAAATCCTCTCGCTCAAGACCTACATGCACACCTACGAGAGCGAGATCTGATCTCTGGTCTGGATCTGTGTGCAAAAATGTTACTGACATTTTCTTCAACTGTGGTGGATGTACATGATGTGGTACCAGATAAAGTGTCATCTCTGTTACACTGTTCTACACTGGCTGCTCTGCAGCATCCATTTTGTGGCCCTGTCACGAAGCGTTTCCTTTTATCTTATTCATTCCATATAATTGTTTAGATTCAGCTTTAACACCACTGAGCTACCAGATGTGGTACTGGACACTTGAGTTTGTTTGCTTAGCAGATGGAAAGAATTGTTACAAGGCCCCCACTCCTAAATCCAGGCTTTACAAAAAGTCAAAGAGAGGTGTGTGGTGAAAATCCCCAGATTTATTCACAGAAAGACTGCCACAGACTTACAACACAGTAGGGGTCTGCATCCATTGCAGTTACCTTTAAGAGGGCTGCAGGACGCTGGAGCTGATCCTAGCTGACAGGAACCAGGCTGAGAGGCATCACCAGGTCTCAAAAGATGGCAAAAAAAGAGTTAGCTTAATTCATGTTTAAAAAGTGACACAGTGAGAAAATGTAAATAAATAGTAAACCTTCCAGTTAAAGGAGCTTCAGCAGCATGACTAACAGACCATGGGATTCTATTGACATTAGGTCAGGTATCAGACTATAAACAAAGACCAATCAGATCAACAGGTCTCTGTAGCACAACATGTTTGGTTAGTAAAGCAAATATTCACCTGACACCTGACAGATCGTGTTTCTATCCTCTTTCGTCCAAAATGGTTTTCTGACAACCTATTCATGTCCATAGAATCACAAGGTCAGTAAGTTGTGCTGCAGTGAAGCTTTCATTACACAAGAAATAAACGTAGTCTTTCGTATCTTTAGGAGCCGTTACTTTTTCCTGTTTTTTTCCTTCTAATTAGAGGTGTTGTTACTTTTCTGGCAGTCTTTCTGTGAATGGGACTAGCAGCAAGAAAGCAAGAAAGTTACAGTTTCATGGAGGCCCTGAATGAACAACCACCCCCTGTCAACCTTTGCCATCCATCACTGTGTTTATACACTGTTCCTATCTATGTTCTCATCCAGTGGACCAGCACAGCAGTTGGATTATTTGTACCAAGACCCAAAAACCAGACAATTAGAATAATACCTAGCAGCAGCTGTTTTGTCAGGTCTGTTTGGTTAAACACAACTTCATTTAGAAAGAATCACAATATAAGCTAAATGCGTTTGAGTCTAGCGCCAATTCCAAATAAATTTTAACTTAATCAAGAAATGACAAACTGACATATATTACTGTAGTGTTTCATATACATCACGCTGTCAGATATTTTAATGTTCATCATCTTGTGTTACACAACTCTCTGCCACAAAGTCACATACACATATTAGAAACAGATGTAGTATTTGTAAGTTGGTTTCTGTTAATATATATATATATAATTCATAAAAATTCCAGTTATTTTCAAGTAAACTATATTTCATGTGTATTAAAGATGCTATGTGTTTTAAAGATGTTAAAAGAGATGTAAATTGCACTGCAAAGCTGTCAGCAGAGTCAGAGTCCCAGACAAAAACATCCCTTTCAGCAGTAAAACAGGACTGTAAAACTGGAGCAGTTTCCTGTGTAACATGGACCTGCTCTGTCTGACCTCACATTTACTCATGACACCATGTCTGCATTCAACAATTTTTCCTTATGTTCAGTGATACAAAAAAGATATTACCTTTAGTTTTTGTTGTGGAATGATAAAGCAAAGTGTTTGTCCGTGTGTGCGTGTTTGTGTGTGTGTGTGTGTGTGTGGAGTCTTTGTTGAACTTAAGATACCTTTTATGTGTATGTTTGACTGTCGAGTGTGAGTTGTGATTTTAACTTGTGCACAATAATGGTAATGTTAATGATGATTTATTAATGTTTTCCCTAAAAACATTTACCACCTGTGAGACTGACCTATTTATGCTTTATGTACTTTTCTCCACAATAAACACGTGTTTTTACTAAATAAACTGTGGTGCATATGAAGCTAATACAACTGCTTTAAGTCAACCTTTCAGCAACAATACCTAAACCTATGCACGGCCACACTATACTTCTTGTTTTTTTTAAAAGTTAACATGTGCTCAACGGATGAACTTTTACCAAAAATACATAATGTGACCATACATACAAGTGAACAGAAGTAATAAATATTTATTACATTAAACCTGGCAGCACCATTGCCCCTGTTCTCTTAAACATAGTGATGAAACTGAACTGATAAAAATCAATTATCAACCATGAAAGCTGATCCTAATGAGACAATAAAGCTGAATCTTTTGTGATCGCAAAGTGCTTCTGTAATATTTACAAAAGTGCATCTTGTTTTCTAGTCACACTGATAGGAGAAGCAGCCAATTAACATATGCTTTTCAAAATGAAAATGATTTGAAAGCTGCCTTTACCCACATAAATGCAGTCACTGCTTCAGTCAGCAGCTGAAATGACCAGCTCCATCACACACAGGCATTTTGTATTTTATTAAACAACTCAAAAATAAACTCAACAAATACAGTTGAAAAGGGGCAATATGATGTTTGCCAGATCAGACGAGAATGTCAGCGTTGATCAGCGTTTTTCATCCTGTAGAGACAAACAAAAGCCAGTGAGTGTGTAGACAAACAGGAAGTAGTGTTTTTTAAAAGACAAAAGTAGTGCTGGGCTGCAAGGTGGGTCGGTGGTTAGCACCGTTGCCTCGCAGCAAGAAGGTCACCGGTTCACATCCCGGTGAGGACACCCAGGATCCTTCTGTGTGGAGTTTGCATGTTCTCCCCGTGCAGCTTCCAGCGTCCGACTTCCTCTCACAAGTCCAAAAACATGTTGAGGTTAATTGGTGATTCTAAATTATCTGTAGATGTGAATGTAAGTGTGCTTGATTGTCTGTCTCTAAATGTAGCCCTATGATAGACTGGCGACCTGTCCAGGGTGTCCCCTGCCTTCGCCCTATGTCAGCTGGGATAGGCTCCAGCCCTCCACGACTCTAGTGAGGGCTACGCAATGTATAGATGATGGATGTATGAAAAACTTGTGCTGCATTAAATTATTGATTCAAAAAGAATTGGTGTCATTCAATCCTGTCTCCATATATTTCAGTATTTAAGGGCTGATTAACAACTTTTTAGTGGAGGGCTTTGAGATGGTACCTTGATGACATCAGCCAGCTCCTGCAGTGTTTGTTCATACCGGACCTCCAAACTCCTCAAGTTCTCTGGTTTAACCATCTGCTTTTGAATCCCTGGGCTTCCTGCGTCCACCACCATCTGAAGAAAGTTCTTCTCCTGAGTGGGGTGACAGAAATTATATTACAGCAACCATACTGTCTCTGTGGACTCGTTACACTGCTCTTATAACTCTCATATGTACTGAATTTACTGAATTATGGAGCACCTGAACTCTGAGCAGAAAGGTGAAAGCCAGGCCTGCTTTTCCTGCTCTTGCTGTTCTTCCAACCCTGAACAAAGACAGCAGACAATTTGCACACTCTCCACTGCTTTAAAACATGAGGCAGCTGCTCTGTAGGTTTGATGGAGACCTCACCTGTGAATGTACGTCCTGATGTACTGCGGTGCATCATAATTAACAACACATTTGACCCCACTGATGTCGATTCCCCTGGCAGCTGCATCTGTGCTGATCAACCTTTAGGGTGACACCTCACTTTAAATCATCACTTATTACAGTTCATAGTGAGTTATAAAAGGCTAACTGCAAGAAATAAAATCACACATTTAAACAGACTCAAGGGCATTTCCAACACATAACTGTTCTGATTGTGAAACTCAGTTTGAATCCTCCAGCTTGTTCATTAAGAAAATAGTAAACCCTAAAGCATAACTTGTACACTCCAGCCACTTTCACACCACAGCACATAGAGGACATGGACATCACAGAAAGGTTTCAGTGTGTTTTTCACTGTGACTGTGTTGTCCTGCTGAGGCCTCAATAGGTGACCTGGTCTGTATTATCCACTCTTCAGCTATGTCGTGTTAAAAGTGTAACACAACAGATCAAGAGTCTAAACCAGGCAGCAGGAGTTTCCTGAGAGGCTCTATAGCAGCCTGCATTTTTTTAAAAAAAGGGTCCAAGTACATAACAGTGACAGGAAACACCAGGAGCTGACAAGTGCTGATTAAAGCTCAAAATGAGCAAACAGGAGTGAAAAATGTAATTATTTAGAAAATTGTCGAAATGTATTTTTGGGATAAAGCTGTAACTGTTCTGTTTATATCATGAGGCACTGCTGAAAGCACAAACCACACACAGTGCCATCAGATGTTGATAGTGTGAGTGAGTGGCCATGAGAAATGAATACTCCTCAGCAGCATCACAGCATTATGATTCCAGAGTTGCTTCAAAAACATCTGCATATTCCTTAACTGTAATGGCCATTTGATATTTCAATTCAAAATCGAGCACGAGTAGGGCCATGTACAATTTCTGCTGTTGGCTCTTTGCAGGAGACATGAGACAGCAGTTGCAGCTTTGGCACACTCAAAGTTTCTTCAGACATCTTCTCATAGAAGGTCATGAAGCTTTCCTGTCATATTGATGAAATTTATTGTTTTTTTAAATTATAATTATTATTCATTATGTTCTTAAATAGTCTTTTCTTAACCTTATTTAAATTATTGTGTAATTTCTTTTGAAACATAAATAAAGGTATTTACAGATATTATTATTCATGTTGGTATTCTTCACACCCTGCAGGAATGAGTAAAGAACCAAGGATTGCTTAACTATTAGTTGAACTTGTCATGTGGACACCTCAATGCAACTCTATCAGTGAGTCTAAAGACAGACTGAAATGTTGATACACCATTTAGGACGGACAGACACAGACACATACACACACTTACAGTTGGATCTTTCCCTGCTCAAAGCTCTTTAGCGTCTTCTTCCTCTCACCAGGAGAGAGTCGGGAGGAGAACTCAGCAACCTGAATTCCACCAAAGAGCTGCACCAGCAGGTAAAGTCTGGAGAGTGAACAAATGTACAGATGTACAATCCAAGCAGAGCCAACACAGACAGAGACAAATAGAAATAAGCTTTCACAACATGTTTGAACAGCTGTGTCTAACCTGTGTGCAGTGTCTCTGGAGTTGGTGAAGCAAAGGACGGGGCTGAGCTTCATACGCAGGATGAAGTGCAGGATGAGGAGGGGCTTCTTGCTCAATGTGCAGGGCACATAATATTCCTAAAAACAGACACAGGCATTTCTAAATTGACCCAAGTTTTAGCCAATTTCTAGACATCATTTGCTGTCTTCTGTCCGTTTCCATGTTTGTGTGTGGTCCCTGTGAAGGTCAAAGGTCAACTCTTACCGTCAGACCTTGGGGGAAGTCGAAGCGGTCTTGTTTGTGGGTGGGGGCTGCTGCTGTGGTGTTGGAGTGACTGTGGATGGAGCTAAAGAGTCTGGGCTGGTGCAGGCAGAGCTGTTGCAGCTTCTCAGGGTTCTGTGTGAGTGTAGCAGAAAACAGGAGCTTCTGCAGCGGCATCTGAGGCGGAGAAAGACTGAGAAGAGGAACAGGTCAAGACACGGTTAAAGAAGTTTTCATCTGATCAGATTCTACAGTTTTCACTGTCAACAAGCTGACAAGAACTGAAACACATCATCTACTTGTTTTGGACTCACACGTTATAAGTCATTAGATTTTTATGTATTCTACTTCTGTTTACTATAAAGTACTGAAACTGCAAATTTTGTCAAGTTGTTTCTTAAAAGGCAAAACTTTTTCTTTAAAATTTGAACTTCATCATGGCCAAATTTTTCAAAAGAAAAAATCTTATCTAATTTGCAAAATATTGCACAGTTTTCCAACAACTTCTTTGTACTTTGAATATTTAAATTTAATCCTTGAAATCCCTTCACAGCTGCCCTGTGAATCAGATAATGACGACACAACTATCTGTGTAGAGAAGGAGAAAAGGAGGGTTTTGGGATCTGGGGACAAAGAGGAGCTGAGGAAGGTGCAGAAGGAGCTGAAGAGAAAGATCAGGGAATGAAAGGCCAGCTTTAAGACCAAGATGGAAAACTACTTGCAACAGAATAATGCAAGGGAGGCCTGGAGAGGCCTCAAAACAATCTCTGGTCACAGCAGAGGCCATGAGAGGGGAGCTACAGCAGGAGACCAGGAGTGGGCCAACGAACCATTTGATTCTGCTCCCACTCCTCCCCCCACTCATCAAAGCACCGACCAGCCAGCTCTCCTTCCACATCACCTCAGCTCTCTGCCTTCTTTGCCATCCCCATCACCCCACCTCATCACCCACTCATGCACCACCCCCAGCCTCTCCATAACAGCTGACCAGGTGAGAATTGAGCTAAAGAAGATGAAGGCAAGAAAGGCCACAGGTCCCGACGGTATCAGCTCCAAACTCCTGAAGGACTGTGCAGACCAGCTCTGTCATGTGCTCCTGCACATCTACAACCTCAGCCTGAGTCTGGAGAGGGTCCATCACTGTGGAGACTTCCTGTGTGGTTCCTGTCCCGAAGACAGCACATCCTAAGGAGCCCAACCACTTCAGACCTGTGGCACTCAGTTCTCATCTGATGAAGGCCATGGAGAGGATCCTCCTCAGGAACCTGCACCCCTTGGTGAGCTCACATCTGGATCCACTGCAGTTCGCGTATCAACCGGGCATTGGAGTGGATGATGTAGTGGTCTGCTTACTGCACAGAACCCAAACTCACCTGGAGAACAACGGCAGCACTGTGAGAGTCATGTTCTTTGACTTCTCCAGTGCTTTCAACACAGTGAGGGAGAGAAGCTTGAAAGAGCAGGACTAGACTGTCACCTGACTGCATGGACCATCGACTACCTCACTGACAGACCACAGTGAGGCTTCAGGACTGTGTGTCTGATGTGGTAGTCTGCAGCATGGGGGCCCCACAGGGGACAGTGCTCTACCCCTTTCTCTTCACTCTGTACACTTGAGACTACCATTACAGCTCTGGGAGCTGTCACCTCCAGAAGCCCTCTGATGACACAGCCATCGTCGGGTGTGTATCTGAGGGGGACGATCAGGAGTACAGGACGGTCATCACTGACTTTAACTGGTGTGAGCAGAACCATCTCCAGCTCAACGCCAGTAAGACGAAGGAGATGGTCATTGACTTCCGTAGGAGGACGACACCCCAGACTGCTTCGGTTAACATCCACGGTCTGGACATCAAGATGGTGGAGACCTATAGATACCTGGGTGTTCACCTCAACAATAAACTGGACTGGTCTAACAACACAGAGGTCCTGTACAAGAAGTCGTCTCCACCTGCTGAGGAGACTGAGGTCCTTTGGAGTGTGCAGGACTCTGCTCAGGACATTTTATGACACTGTGGTGGCGTCTGCTCTTTTCTATGCAGTGGTCTGCTGGGGAGGAGGGAGCACAGACAGAGACAGAAAGAGACTGAACAGACTGGTCAGGAGGGCCGGTTCTGTCTTGGACTGCTCCCTGGACTCCATAGAGGAGGTGGGTGAGAGGAGGATGTTAGCAAAGCTCACATCCATCATGGACAACCCCTCTCACTCACTGCATGAGACTGTAGAGTCTTTAAGTAGCTCCTTCAGCAGCAGACTGAGACATCCACCCTGCAAGAAGGAGGACTACCGCAGGTCATTCCTCCCAACTGCAATAAGACTGAACAACATCAGCATCACTAACTGATGTTAACCAAACAGACAAAATTAACACATGGTCATAATTATTACTTTTGCACAATCTGTTTTCTTTTTCAGTGTAAATATTGTATATATTTTTGTCATTCAATCGTATATTTTTGTCATCTTGTGTACATACTTATTTTATTACTTAATTATTGTTATTTCCTTGTACTTTTTTCTATATTTTTGGATACTGCTGTGGCATGTAAATTTCCCCCAATGGGAGATCAATAAAAATAATTCTATTCTATTCTATTCTATTCTATTCTATTCTATTCTATTCTATTACATCTGCTTGTTCTGCTTCCCCATAGTGAACAAATGCTGCAACCGTTCTGTAGAAGTAGTGCCACCTCACTACCTTTGTATGCTTTAGTTAGATTTTAAAATCATATGTAAATCAGTGGCTCCAGGATAATTAATTATTTTTTTCTCATTAGGTGTAATGGGGATATTCTTAAAATTCTGTTAAAAATTCTGTAAAAATGTAGAGAATTCCCATACTGTATCTTTAAACAGACTGCTGGTTTCAACGCAGACTGTGTGGCTGCAGGAAACTCTCTGTCTCACCTGGCTGCTGTGATATACGCTGGCTCTGTCCTCCTGAACATGGACATGGCATCTGATCCGCTTCCTGATCCATAAACCGCATTCACCACCTGACTAAGCCATGACTGGTGCATGCTGTCAATCATCCGGTCAGCCTCGTCAATGATCTGACAGATGAGTGATCACAAGTATTTTAAAAACTGTAGATGATAAATGGCACACAATCCGAGTGTCACTTCAAACTCTGGACAAAAGGAAGAAACCGTTCCAATTGTTTTACTGAAATCTCTTTAAAGTCTCTTGATTTTTTCCAGAGCTTTATCTATGAAGTTGATGAAAAGTTTGTTTTCTCAGTTATAAGGATTTTAAGAACTCACAAGAAACCTGAGCTGTTCCAGACATAAGCCTGAATTCTTGTTGATGTGATCAACCAGTCGACCGGGAGTGGCCACGACAATGTCTGCTACGCTGCGTCTAACACCCCCTCTGCAAGAAAAATCATTTCAATATATAATCAGATCAGCATTTCTCCAGTGTGACATGTTGGAGCAAATGCTTACGTTACTATAGTGGATATGCAGATGTCTTTTTTTATCCTGGGCATTCAAAGTCATTCACTGTTGAATATTATACTGATACCAAGTTCTGATTTAATCAGAACTGCACCGGTAAAAGCCCTGTGAGCACTGCATCAACATTCACGGCCATCATCTGGTGAAGCATTGAAGATGTGACACAGTGGTGATACTGAAGGCAAAATCTGAAAAGCAGCTGAAGCGCAATGATTATTTGTGAAGCCAACTGTAGCTCTCACCTGTAATCTGAGAGTGAAGCCTGCTCTGTAGCAAAGGACTTCTGACCAGCCAGCATCACCACTTTGAGAGCAGTTCCCTCAGCATAGGACGTGAACACCTTGTAAACCTGTACAGGAGAACACGTCAGTCGTGCCATTTCGATCTATAGAGAATTATTAGGATTTAAATCGTTGTGCAGGTGGTTTTGAATGTTTTTGACCTGCTGGGCGAGCTCTTTGGTTGGCAACACGGCCAAGGCCCGGACTTCACACACCGCCCGCTCCATCAGCACCTAATGGTGGAGATCATCCTTAGTCTTCTGCCCTCTTCACACATGCAGCCGTACCTACACCTATTGTATATGCACTGTTCTCTCAGAGGTACCTAAAAGACATAATGGCAGCTCACCTGTATGACAGGTATGACAAATGAAAGCGTCTTGCCACTGCCTGTCGGTGCAGACACACAGATGTCTCTGGGCTTGTAGCCGCCTCGTCCGATCAGCAGTCCCTGCTGTGCGCTCTCCAGGATTGCAGGAATGACCTCCGCTTGCACTGTAAAAAGTCCAAAACAGATCGTCACAACTATTCTTCTCAAGTGCATCCTCAGTAAACCAAAGATTATTTCACCTCCTTCCCATACACACACCCACACAACACATGCAGCGTATTCAGCAAGATACACCATGAAAACCTCATACAAGGATTGTAGCAAACTAAAATGGCAAATGACATCAGAGTAAAATGAACAAAATGCAACTATTGCAGCATATGCAAAATTCCCAGCACCTTTAGACTATGGAGAAATCAGGCCCATCTGTATGTGTCTATGTCTGTGAATAGTCTGTAGCTCGAATACTACCGTCTCACAAGTTGATATTTTACAGGTGAGCTAGGAATGGCCTCTGTTCGGAATGATTAGATTTTGGGGTCAATCAGTGCAAAAATAGTTTCACTAGACAGCAAAAGTCACTATACTTGCAGCTATATCCCCCTACTGAGGGCTCTGTAGTACTTAAAAATCCTTTTACTGTATGTTAAATGACTTGGTAGGAGTTGTAAAGCAGGTCAAGAATTGTCAGCTGTTCTTTTGACTGTAAACTGTGGTCATGTGGTCTGCTGTAGTCAGATTTACACCAGTGCCATTATCCTTCCATTCCTAAATATAAACTGAACTTTACTCTAGGGATAACCAGTGACTTGGAAATTGTGTTGTATTCATATCCTGCTTTTTGCTTTTCAACAACCTTTTCACAGAGTTGCCTGGAGTGTTCTTTTGTCATCATGGTGTAGTTACATCCAGAAGTACTGATTCACTAGACATTACAGATACATTTATTTATACTACAATCACTTAAGACATGTTCACTGCACTCAGAAAGTCTCCATTTCACGAATTGTGTGACTTTTGGCACCAACTGGCTGCACAGTCAAGAAATTGAAAACAGGCTAGCTTCTACAAAGGGACAATGATCCAAAACAGTCTTCAAAATCCACAATAATTTAAGAAGCTCAAAGTGATGCTACTGGAGTGGCACCCAGAGGTCCCTGACGTGAACACTGAAGATATGTGAGCAAATCTTAAACATCTTGCATGTGCAGGACAGTCTGAAAATAACTCGAAAATAACTCAGAACTTGGAAAGATGTGCAGGAAGAACAGAAGTACTCTCATATATGTTCTAAATCTTTAAGAAACCTGAGGCTGAATACACCAATAAAAAAGAACCCAAGTCATTACCTGGAAAGAAATGTTCAATTCCATTATTGTGTAGTTTTTTCAGGAGCTGAGCTGAAAGTCCTGAGATGTCACAGATAGGAACCAGGTTGCTTTTAATGTCTCTGTGAATCACATCAGGCTCTGCAAGCCACTGAGGTAGTACTCTGTGTACCTGAGAACAGAGAATGCACAAGCTAATGCTACAAAACAAAGGAAAGAATCCTAACGATATTCATGACTCTTGGTTCCTCGTTTAGCACCATTAAGTAATCATTGTACCTTTTGGACAGGCTTGCTCTCAAAACCTCCCAGAACTGTGAATCCAGTTGGAGCAGAAGTCTTCTGTGAGCTTTGTTTTGGCGAGTCCTTCTCTGTCTCTGCCTGCTCTTCTCCTACAGTGTCCTCTGGTGCATCTCCTCCACTCACAGGAGTGTTGGAAACAACTTCAGCTGAACTGCCTAAAAGTCCAAGACATACAAAGTAAATCTTTGAAACAGATTTTGCTGCAGAAGCTACATCACACTCTGTAGTTCATAACAAGCCTTCTGAAGCAAATGTAGGAACCCTGGTCAGAAAAGTACTGCAACTTTAAGGATGTGCAATGACAAGATCAGGAATTATTTGCTTTTTATCTCCAGACATGACTGTTAATTGATATCAATGACCTTGATCACCATGATATCCTCTTCCTATCAGGCTATTAACCATGTTTCTGTGATGTTTACATGAGAAGTTACTGAGGAGAAAACATGAGGTTAAAATAAGTCAAACACGACTACAGAAAGGCTTTCAGAGAATTTTGACTGAGATGTGGTACTGAGTGGGACATTTAACAGTTGGAAAACTCTACAATCTGTAATTTTCACCAGAAACTAAATTAGTAACAACAATAAATGACGACACTAATAAAAAACCTAATGAATTGAATTCTTTTCAATATGAGTCTGAAACATGACATAATGTGGAAAACTTGAATGGGTCTGAAACTTTCTGAATGCACTGCATATGTGTGTACCAACTATCTGTGCTAACCTCATAGTATTAGCCATTCTAATGTGCCAGCATCTCAAAAAGACAAAAGTCCTCATCACACGTAATGTGAAGCATCATATAAAACGTGTTCAAATACAAGTTCAACAACACACCTGACTTATCCTTCTTCTTCTTCTTTTGTTTCTCATTTGCACCTTTCTTTTTCTTCTGTTTCTCTTCAGCAGGCTCATCATGGTTATCAGCGTCTGAACTGTGCAAAGCTACAACTTTCGATTTCCTCTTTTTGTTTCGTTGAGGCTCTTGAACGCTGTCTTCGTCAGCTTTTCTTTTCTTTTTAACGTCCTGTAGTTCTGTCTGTTCTTCATGCTGGTGTTCGGTCTGTTCTGTCAAGCTTTTCTTCTGCCTCTCTTTTGCTTTCTGTTGCAGTTTAGCCAGTAACGCCTGAGACCGAGACTCCTTTAAAGTGCTCCCATCGTCTTCCTCTCCAAGATACCTGTGAGCAACCGCGAAAAATCATAATACACATTACAGATTCTTCCATCCACCACTTCATCAGTCACAGCACAGCAGCTTTTCTCAATAACTGACATAACAAACACTTTGACATTTTGTTTAGGGTAATGTTTGATTCATATAGTCATGCTAATAAAACATATAATTTGACCTCTACACTGCCCTTTTCAGACCTATTGACAATGTCATTTCTCCATTAGCTATCATGCTAAAAAGATGTTAGTTAATATTAGTAATGCTACAACACTGCAACTGGTTTAGAAATAACTGTCTTTCAAATTCTGAATACGCAGGAATCTAAGAAAAAATCAGCTTTGTAGCTAACCATGCTTCTAAATGAGTCTTTGTTTATAACTTGTCTATTGGAGCTGACACATAAAGTGGTGATGAAGATTCAGAGCTCAGAAACTGACAGTGATAAGTGAAGCTGTGGGGAAATCTGGTGGTGTTTGTGGGAAAGGAGTTAGAGGGAGGACAACGGCAGACACAGAAAAGTTAAATTAAAATAAATTGGTATCACCTGAAGAGAAAACAGAGATATAGTAAAATTTGCTAGCATCATTTTCAGCATTGATTTTAATTCTTTAAAAAAATATGTTGTCAGCATGAATTTGTCAGTTCAAATCTCTAAATAAATTACCAAACATCAAGAAGAAACCAGCGATAGAAGCTAGGACACAAAATCAACTTACCTGTTCACAAGGAACAGGGACATTTCAACAGCAAGAGGAAACCTCCCGACCAAGTTTTGTAATTTTTTTCACCGTTTCCGCATCAGAGAAAAATAACACTGGACATCAAATAACCCAATCCAAATTCTGAATTAGCTCAGTTACTTTAAAGCACTGAAGTAGTCAACTTCGACTGAACTACAAACATCAGCACCTTCTCATGTGTTTCGCATACTGTACACGACGCGGTTTGATGACGCCAGTTTGCCCGGTCGCATACCTTTCGTCACCGGTTGAGCCCGACCATATTAAGTTGGTATTAAAATTCAATGGAAAAAAAAAAACCCTAAATCGCTCTCTCTGAGCTTTATAGCTATATATTTGATTTATATATATATAGCTTAGTTTAACTATTTTTTAAATATCAATCAAATGTAGCCAAAATGTAACCCAATCGTTTTCTTCACCCCCACCACATGTGGATCTGTCCACTCGATGACGTCCACTATTCAAAATAAAGTGGCAAATTTTAGACACGCAAACAGAGTGAACATATACATAAAAATGCTCCTACACGGATATCTAGACTGTTAAAAACACATTATACATCCACATTAACGCATCAGTAATAGTATAGTTCTGTACTCAGAGGGGACATATTTTGAAAGAAGGGATATGTGTGTGATGTGAAGAACATTTTCTTACATTTTCCGCTTTCATTAGTAATAAAATATCTTTTTATTGCTGTGGTATTACTTTCTGATTCTGGACACTCCACCGCTTATCACCCCCTGAAGTCTTCAGTCCTCCATAACGTATGTGTGCAAATATCAAATTGTTAAGAAAATAGCTAAACTAGGCACTTTTAGGCAATAGGAGAATATCATGCTGTCAGAGAAGAGAATAATAATTGAAGAAAATAAATTAAATTGTTTTTAAAAAATCTAAAAATAAATGCATAAATAAGTAATAAATGCATACATGAATAAAATACATTTCGTAATGTAAAAAGGGGTTATTAAAATAATATCTAAAATGATTTTGACATTTTTATACATCAACTTTTGAAATTCCTTGTATTTCTTCGTTTCTTCGTAATATTTAAGTGTTTCTGTTTTTGTTTCTTTCTGTATTTCTGTGTCCACGTGTTAATTGTTGTCTCAATAAGTATATATATATATATTGATTTACTTTTTTTAAAAAATATTTTTTCTACCTAATGCATGTTGTGTCCTCCATAGGTATGTTAATAACTTTTGGAGTTATTTCTTGTAAAGATCTCCAGGACTCAGAAACACTTGCAGCACAGGTCTGTTGTGAAATCCAGGGCAGAAATGACGCACATTTAGAAAACTTTCACTTCCTACAGCAGGCAGCTGTCTGTGTACAGCAGATGAGCACAGACAGACAGCTGGTGTCTACTCGTGACATTTAACTGGAGTTGGTTGTTTTGAAGCTAAACTGTTTACTGTGGCGTGGAAGCAGCACTACGGTAGGATTTATTAGTGGTTATCTGCTGAAGTCAGACTTTATGTGAGCTACATGACTTAGAAAACTAACACAGCGGATGTAGCCGATGCTACGACAGCAGTTATTTCAACAAGTGTTTGTTTTAATTGACTTTAGCTTCAGAGTCTCTCAGGCTAAACTTGGAGCGAACGGGATAAAGTTATTATCCGTTAGAGGAAACAGGCTTTTGGAACAAATGTCGGAGTTCTGATTTCTGATCATTATGATAAACGGTTCTTCTTGTTTTGGGTGTGACAGTACGGGCCATTAAAAGATTAGGAACAAAGCTGTGGCACAAAAGAGGAAGAATGCTGTACAAATACTGGTGGTGACTTTACAATTAAAATAGTTGAACGTATTTAAACAACATTTAGACAGCTGTCAATCAAAATAGAGTGATTGTTATGCGCTTTGTGTGTGTGTGTGTGTGTGTGTGTGTGTGTGTGTGTGTGTGTGTGTGTGTGTGTGTGTGTGTGTGTGTGTGTATTTGTGAAGGATTCCTGAAAGTGCTGCTGTTAGTACAGTGGGACCTTGTTTTACACACAGTACATATGATGGTTTCAGACTCAGGCAGTGTACTGACCTCTTTCATAAACATCTAAAAATACGCACATTTCTGTAATTAACACTGAGCCTCAATGATTAGTAAGTTACAGTATAGGTTGTAGGAGTGTATTGATGGTATTAATGAAGATGACTGATCAGCAGTATCATTGAGACCAGTCTTACAATAGCTGACAGTAACTGTGATTTGTTGTTCCTGACCACCACGATACCTTGTAGCTTCACCATATTCCCAGGCTCTGGTTGAAATGAACCTGTTGAATTGATTAGCTGGTTGGCAGAATTTTTATTGTCAACAACTTTGATCATTCATTAATTATTTTGTCTTTTTTTTTTTCTTTTTTCCAAGAATGAATACCCAAAATGTACTTGTTTAGTCTTTGAAATATGAACATCTGTTATTTTTTTATAGCTTTCTGTAATATCATACAAAGATTTATTTTTGATTTGAATGTTCACTTGGGCTTCAGAGAATAACGATGAGCATTTTTTAAACAAATTTGTGACATTTTGTGCATTAAATCAGTCATCAAATAAAAAGTATCTGTTACTTGCAGCTCTACAGTACGCTGTAATGGAACCGTCTTGAGTCTTCCAACCATCCATTTTCTGGATGGCGAGGGGATGTTTGTATTCAAAGGGGAGGGATGGGGTGTGTTCATACAGAAAAAAAATCCAGACAAGTTTTTCCTTCCAGGAATTTCACACAAAGGTGAATTTTTGAGACTGGGGTCAAAAGATGGAGGATTGAGAATATTTAGTTTAATGATACAAATGTCTAAGAAGTGTGCAATTAGTTATGAAGACCCAGAAGATGTGTAGTAAGCTTGGGGTCTTTGAGCCCCTGAGAGGGTTGCTGGCTTTAATGGGTTGACAATCCAGCCCTGTGACTTACTCCTAAACAGCTTTTAAACATGTCTAAACTGGAATTGAAGAGTTAGGAAAAATCATGTTGTGCTTAAATGACTCACTCTTTATCATACTTATCTGGTCTTCTGTTGTCCCACAGATGTGACTGTTGTGTGCTAAATATGGGTCAGGTCGAAGAAGCCAAAGTGTCGTGCCTTAGCATTCTCACCTACCACAGAGAGCTGCTGGTGTCCAGGCTAAGGAGCATTCAGTGCATCCTCGACAATCTGTTGGCATGTGGCTTCCTCTGTGAAGAAGATGTTGAGATTGTTCAGCGAACTGCCACTAAGACGGATCAGGTAGGAAAACCTGACCAGGACATTTGTTTAAAAATGAGAGACAATTTTCATTAAAAAAAAAAAAATAAAATAAAATAAATAAATCTATAATACAAAATTATACTGTTCATACAATTTTCAATAATTTTATTTTCACTCATTGTTTTCTAGGTGCGCAAAATCTTGGAGCTAGTCCAATGCAAAGGGGAGGAGGCCTGTGAATACTTCATTTTCATCATATATAATGTATGTGATGCTTACATAGACCTCCAGCCATGGCTGAAAGAGATCAGCTACCAACCAAGCAATGAAGTAAGACAGTTGAAAGTGGTCAACACAGATCCTAGTAAGTATTACAGGCACTAACACTGTCCTTTTATAAACTTAATAGATTTAACTTGTGGAAGTGTTTTTTAAATTCTTCTCTCCACCACATGGTGATAAATTAGGGTAAAAATGTAAAAATACAAAGCATTTTTTTTCTATGACATTATGCTTACTGACACATTTCTCTTTGTGTAACATTTCAATGTTGAAACTGATGGAAGTGAAGCTTTTTAAAATATATGTATCATACTGTTGGGCAGTAACTGGTAACAATAACTGTCAGGTAAATGTGATGCGGTAAAAAGTACATTTTCTTCCCTTGAGTAACCTTGAGTTTAAGTGCCTGAAAAATAGAAAGTATAGTTGATATACTTTAAACAAGTAGACTGCAGATGTATCAAATTGTAATTTAAGAATGCATTTTAAAGAATTTTTTGACATTTCTGTTTTTATTTCACTATTTTAAAAAAAGAAAGAAAAAAACCCCCACAAAAACAAGCAACTTTAATCTGCACAATGAGACTGCATATTAGTAAGTCATAGTAAAAATGTCAAACCTGATCTACATGTATATACATTACAGCAAACATACAATATTCAATATCAAAACGTGCCATCAGATGTTTTGGTAGATTTGTGGTTACTTAGTAACACAGTTGACTCGTAATTGTGTCATGCACTTACAAAGGCCAGAATACTATGTTGCTCGCATTTGTCAAATTTAAATAAGAACAAAACTTCCCACATTACAATACAAACAAGAAGCTTTGTCTCATATCCAAAACTCTTGAAATTTGTCAAATCATCTCACATTTTGATATTTGGGGGTTCCAAACACTGGGACAAGTTAATGAACTCTGAAAAATGTATACCTATATAATCAGATATATTTTACTTTTTTTGGCGAACTGTGGTCATTTGTGAAACAGCTGAGCTGTGGTCTGCACTCAGGCCTCAGCATGTTGTAAATACTCCACTCCCCTACATTCTCTCCATGCTCTGCTCCAGACCATTGTGTAACTTCTTCTTTCTAATCCTCTCACCTGGCATGTGTGTCCCCAGTCCAAACAACTGTGAATTAAACATTAAGTTCATCGTGTTTTAAATATGTTTAATTTGTACATCCAAAAAAAAAATGTCATACCCACACATTTCTGTAGCAAACCAAAAATTGGAACCCTGTCACCCGTATAAATTTCTTCTTTATCATTTGCTGAAGCTAGTGAGGTCTGTCCAATACTCTGTGCAACTGTGTGTCAACAAGCAAGTATTCTGGCCACACATGAAGTCTGGTGGGCCCTGACTGAGGTTTCATCAAAGGCTGATCAATGTCATGAAATACAGTATTTCGACATTTAGTAGTTACCTTCTACTTGATGAACCTGATTTCACACAGATGTTCACGTGTGGATGAATATGAGTGTGCTTGGTTGTCTGTCTGTCTCTCTGTGTGGCCTTGCGATGGCCTGGCGACCTGTCCAGGGTGTGTCCTGCCTTCACCCTGAGTCGGCTGGGATAGGCTCCAGACTCTCTGCGACCCTAGTGAGGATAAAGCGGTGTATAGATAATGGATGGATGGATTTATGTTTGGAATGGATAAAATAAGTCTGGTCATAATTTTTTTTTTTAAAACAGCTAATTCACTGTCTGTGTCCTCTCAGTCAGTAGGTACTGTGAGAAGTTGAGACATGAAATGAACCGGGACAGCAGCTTCATCATGTCGTATGGCCAGAAAGAGGAAACCCGGCTGGAGAACCTCTACACTGACACTATGATGGAGCTGTTTAATGGCTGCAATGAAAGTCAGGGTTTCTTCGAGAATCTGGACCAGCTCCTGGGAGAACATGCAGTTTTCAATCCCCAAGGTGAAATCATCTATGTAGTGGGAGATGCTGGTGTGGGAAAATCCATCCTTCTGCAGAAGCTTCAGAACCTCTGGTCCAAGAAGGAGCTGCAGACAGATGCCATCTTTTTCTTCAAGTTTCGCTGTAGGATGTTCAGCCTCTTCAAGGAGACAGACCAGATCTCCCTTAGAGACCTTATATTCAAGCACAGCTGCTACCCAGATCACGATCCAGATAATGAAATCTTTGATTACATCCTGCGCTTCCCTGAGAAGGTTATATTTACTTTTGATGGCTATGATGAGATTCAGGAAGATCTGGATCTGATGAATGTTCCTGAGGTGGTGTCACCAGAGGGCAAGGCCAACCCCCTCCAGCTGCTCATCAGCTTGCTCTGTGGCAAACTACTCAAGGGCTCAAAGAAAGTGCTGACAGCTCGAACAGGGATTGAGATTCAAAGTAAGGTGATCAGGAAGAAGGTGATTCTGCGCGGGTTCTCCCCAGCTCACCTAAAGACTTACATTGATCTGCACTTTAAGGAGCAGGAGCACAGAGAGCTGGTGTCAGTTCAGCTGGATGCTAGTCCTTACCTCTGTGGACTGTGCTCCACCCCGCTGTTCTGCTGGATTGTATTCAAGAGCTTTCGGCATCTGCACGCAATGCACGATAGTTTTCACCTGCCTGACACCTGCGTCACACTCACTGACATCTTTCTCCTGCTGTCTGAGGTGTTCCTCAGCCGCTTAGCTTCACCTGCACCATCTTTATTGAAGAAAAGCACTCGCTCCACCTCAGAGACATTTACAGCAGGGCTCAGGCCCCTTGCTGCATTTGCCAAGCTAGCACTTCAGGGTATAGAGAGAGGGAGCTTCATTTGCAGTCAAGAGGAGATCAGTGCATGTGGTCTGACAGAAGAGGATGTGCCCCTGGGATTTCTTAGACCTGTTAGTGAAATTGATGCCAGTGGAAGCCCTGCTACCTTTGAATTCATTCACGTCACCCTCCAGTCTTTCTTGGCAGCATTTGCTCTTGTGTTGGATGAGCAGTCTGCTGCCAGCTCCATTCTTAAGTTCTTTACAGAGTGCAGCAGGAAAAGAGAACCGTCCTGTCTGCCCTTTGATGTCTGTATCTGTAGCTCTACAAAGCGTGGTGAAAAGAAGCCATTTGCACCTAACGAGCACCTTCATTTCACTAATCTGTTTTTGTGCGGACTGCTGTCCAAGACTCACACTGGCCTGATGGGACATCTGTTATGTCCTATTTCGTTAAAGAGAAAACGGGCCTTGCTGAAGTCTTACCTGTCCACCAGTGTCAAGTCCCACCTGCATGGCTTACCCTACTACAATGGTAACGAAGGCAAGAGGGTTCATGTTATGCCCAACTTCCTGTGGATGCTGAGATGCATCTTTGAGACAGGGAGCAAAGACATTGCTAAGGTGACAGCAAAAGGCATCACAGCCGGATTTATCAAACTGGGTTACTGTAACGTGTATTCAGGTGACTGCACTGCCCTGAACTTTGTCCTGCAGCATCGTAAGAACCTCCTGGGGCTCGACATGGATAACAACAACATCAGCGACTATGGAGTGAAGCAGCTCAAGCCTTCTTTCTGCAAAATGACAGTAGTGAGGTAAGAAGTACAGATATGTTCGTAACTACCTTCTAATTTCCACTGATAGATTTTCAGACTGATTAAGTGATGCGTTTAACTCTGAGCACTAATCAAATGTCTGGCCTTTAGATTGTGTGTCAATCAGCTGTCAGACAGCAGCATTGAGGTTCTTGCAGAGGAGCTGTGTAAACACAAAGTTGTGAAAACTTTGGGGTAAGTAAACATTGTCCAACATCAGTTGTTCTAAAACTGAGTAACCTGTGCTTAATGCCATTGATTTATTTTATGCATTGCACTTCAAGGTATGGGATATATTGGATGTGAACTGTCAGTGCTTTGAGTCACATACTGGATGTGGGTGAAATGGGCAGGAGTAAAGATCTCAGCTCATTTGACAAGAGTCAAGTCATTTTTGCGAGACAACTAGGCCACAGCATTTCCAAGACACCAGTGAAATATTAATGATAGACGCAGAGGATTAATTTTGCTCTAATGCGACTGTGTATTAGCAAGCAGAGCCAACCTAACTTTTCTGCTGTCAGATGCAAAGACCCCACTGTAGACCTGTATGCCAGTGGAGGAATACTCTGTTTCAGATTCCAAGATAGGTACAACAATTACCTAACAACAACACATTTCAGTACACAAATGATTAGTAAATTTATCAATGAGTTGATTAACAGAAAATAGATTAGAAACTGAAAATGACAGTTATATTTCTTTAACATATTTTTACATGTTCGCTTCTCAGGTGCAGTATACCAAACATCAATAGGTTTTAGATTATTAATCACACAAAAAAGAAACATTGGACTGTGGAACATTGTGCCCAGCACTTTTTTAAAAGGCATTTTTGAACTAATCAAGTATTTGATTATTTAAGAAAGTAACTGTATGATTAATCAGTAAGATCTGACTGTTATTTCTGTGCCTGTCCTCAGGCTTTACAACAATCACATCACAGATGTTGGAGCCAAGCTGGTTGCTCAGATAATTGAGGAATGCCCAAAGCTCCGAGTTGTCAAGTATGTTTCTGATTTGTATCAAGAATAAAAAGAGAAAATGAAAGTAATTGAAATATGTTATGGTTGTATGTCACTTAAATTGATGCATTCATTACTTTGTCCTTAGGATTGGTAATAACAAGATCACTAGTGTTGGTGGGCGGTATCTGGCCAACGCAATTCAGAAGAGCACTTCAATATTTGATGTGGGGTAAGACTTCATTGATATTAAACATCTTTGCTGAAGTAGCTCAGTTAATCTTGCATATTCCTAATTAGCAGGTGATCACATGGAAGTGGTAGGGTATGAAAGAAAATAACACTGGACAGCTGCAGATTAAGAGCAACATGCATAAAGTATGGCTTTTGTTGCTAGACAGATTTGTAGCTGTGAAAAAATAGCTTTATCCTCATCCTTCAAGCACCATGAAAAAATTAAATACTGATGAACGCTGCAACAATAGAGACCAAAGAAAAAAACATCATCAGGATCCATTTTCAGCTGTCTTACCAGGTCGTCCATCCCAGCTGAAAACATCTGGGAAATAAATTCTGGCATATTGAAGAAGGTTGTTTAAGACTGAAAATAGCATTGACAGTGAGATAGCTGTGTACCACAGGCTTCAGTAAGACAGTAAGGCCTTAAAAAGCATCTTATTTGAGAGCTTTGATATTTTTGTTTCCAGGATGTGGGGGAACAGCATCCGTGATGAAGGAGCTGAAGAATTTGCTCAAGCTTTGAGGAACCACCCAAGCCTTACCAACCTCAGGTAGCAAGGCAAGGCAGTGCATGAAATATATTAAAAAGCTGATCCAAACCTACTGATTTAAACCATTTTTTTCTGTGTTTCAGTTTGTCATTCAATGGTATCACATCAAAAGGCGGGAAATGTCTGGCAGAAGCACTAAAAGAGAACAGCGTCCTCAGGATATTCTGGTAAACACAGTGACACACATAGTTAGAGCTGAAGCTGTGTCTACATCAGGGATGTATTAAGGGAGACGGAGTTAATCGTGCAACTTGGCCTTGTTGCCAATTTGCCAGTGGCTACATGGTGTATTGCCATAAGATTTAATACAATCTGGTAATAACGCTTACATGTAACATTTAACTTATAACATGTAGTTGGGGCCAAGAAGGGAAAAACTACATTGCCAGGTAAACAATTTTCACTCAAGAATAAGTGGCGTCTTGGTGTCCATATTCTACACAAAAGATATCGCTTTAGCAGCACGTTAGCAGAGCAGCAGCTGGGTGAACTACAAAGCAGGTTCGACACAGCCAGGATCTCTTTAGCTCACTCTCTTGTTAGCTGACTTAAATATGTAAAAAAAAATATCAGAAATAATTGGTATAAAGAGGGTGGTTATCAACTTTTACGTTTTCTTCATCGTGATCTATGTGCACTCTTCTTTCATTTATTTGGATCGATTGTGTGCCGCCTACTTAAGAGGAACAAGTTGTAGTGGAGAGCTTTGAAGAATAGAAGAAAAAAATTGCCAAAGGTACCTTATTGCAAACAAGACAGAAGAGGAGTATGGTAGTTAATATATTTTTTTTACCACTCAGTGCACTCTCAATTCAGATGGTTATGTCTAACGTGACAGTTGCACATTGCGGCTCTTAAACTTTAAATTTCATACATTTAAAGATGATGTTCAAAAAGAGCTTGTATGTTGGGTGCTGATGAAGCATAGAAGAAATCCCTTAAGTTTTTCTGCCAAGCCAAGGTGAAATAAATTCCATTTATCATCTGCAATGACTTGTTTGTAATAAATACCAAAAGACTAATCAGTTTTCTATTAACTGCAATACCAGCAGTGTAAAATGGACTTCATGCATCACCAACTGAAAGCATGCAGGTTTCTTTTGGAAATGTCTTTTGTCTTTATGGTTGTATAACACAGCTAAAAGGCAGCCATTAACACTTTCAGTGTAGATTAGATAGGAATGTGTGTGAATAATGATAAAACAACTATTTGTGCTGTGCAGAATGACACTATATAGCAGAACCTGTCTGTGCTGTTGCAGGCTGGTGCAGAATGAGTTGACTGATGTTGCAGCTCCACACTTGGCTGAATTGATCAAAGCAAACACTGGTTTAAGCCACCTCTGGTGAGGAAAACGCACATGCATGACCACACTCACACTGTATTTACTCACTAGGTGTTTGTATTGCTGAGATCCATGATCCATGATGCTGCTGAATATCTCGATTGTCAAACAGTCCCCTGCTGTGTATATTTATCTGCAGGTTAATCAGCAACCAGTTCACTGTGGATGGAATTAGACACCTCGCTGAAGCACTTACTCACAACACAGATCTCAAAGAGATATGGTGAGCATCAGTTAAAAGTCTGTGACATTTTCTTTTCATCTAAGATACTGGTCTTACAACCAGGTACCAGGTACCACATTACCTGGTACCTGATCATACAACCAGGTACCAGGTAATATGGGTGGGAGTAAGTTTGCGAGGGTAGGTGGGGAATAAAATATTCCCAGCAGCCTCTGGTAGTTTCATTTCATTGTTCTGGACAGAAACGTGAATCTACAGGATTAGGTCTGTGACTTTGACATTCTGGCTAAAATGTGTAACAATTACTTTCACTATGCATTTTAATAGTTAGATTTTCCAGCTGCTTAAAAATATGTTGAATCGGTTTGTCTGGACTGGACTAAAATCATTGACCAAGGCTAGTAATATTTAAATCAACCTAATAAACACTTAGTTAGTTAGTAAAATTGTTATTCATTCTCTGCATAGATATCAGGTGACACACACCTGAAGCAGTCTGGATGTGCGCAAAGCTCTCCTGGATGATTGACAGCATAGAACAAGCACTAATACAAAATACCGGGTTCACGAGTGAAAGGTGGATGGACATACTATGTCTTTCAGTAAGCACCCTGAACCTAGCTTAAAGTTCTGATACAGGTAGTATCAAGACATAACTGTGCAAGAATGCTTACTTGTAAGACTAAGCTGGTGGGAAAACTGACAAGTACTACTGTGTAAGTGAATTAATTTTTGGATCGGGTGTCACTTTTGGATTAATCTGCATTGTTCCATCTGTAGCAGGGGAGCTTGTTGTCATTTGGACTGCCCTGCTTTGTGACTGACTAGCTTCTTGCACATAGAAATAAACAGTAGTAAAGACTCATTAGTATTTGACTATTTAGAGCAACCTGGGCACTGTAGTATTTTGAGCAGACTGACAGCCAAAACATAATTACACGTGAACAAATTTGAAATCAATCAATTCTGTGGCTGATCTGTGACTGTTTGTATCTGTGTTCAGTAACACTGAGGTTTTTTTTAAGGCCAGCAGACTGCATTGGTAATTAGCGTTTATTTGCATTTGCATTCAGCATTGAGTTAGCATCCAATCAGTATTCGACTTGTCTAAAGAACATTGCTGATTATTGTGTTATGTTTTGAATGAATGCCTGATGTTGTGTCATCATGTTCCTACAGTGTGAAAGGAAACAAGCTCTCTGAAGAGGAAGAGAAAGAATTTCTGTCAGAGAAACGGCTGCGGTTCCACTGACAGGGTCCTAAAATCAGACATGTGCACGTGATGTGACATGTGTTTCTCAGAAAACATGGAGTGTGTTCACTGTGTGTATGCAAAGTGTTAGCAGTAGCACACTGATGTGCTGTCATGTTAGACTTTATGCCTTTACCTAATGCTGGGGGCAGGGAATTCTGTGGATTCTGCACTTGATAAACCTTTATTTTCATGTGCTCTGAGCAGAATGTAACTTTCCTGTTTCATGCAGGGGAAGTCTATATGAAACTTTGCCATGTCATATATGAAAACGGGAAGTGGAAACGAACAAGAAGTTACAACATGCCAACCACCTTACATGCACATTTTGTTTTGTAATAATGCAATACATATAAACAATATAAACTGTAAATAACTATTTTATTTATGATTTGACTTGGTTGTTACCCAAGATACTGTTAGTTTTCCGCATAAAGTACAGACTGAAAATTGTATCACCATCTCAATATTTGCATTACCTGAACAATAGCCCAGCAGTAGCAACTCAATGCCAGAAAATTTAGCAGACCTTTTTATTTTGTATTTTACTGTATTTATTTTTTTTACTGAAATCTTTATTATGACAAATGTATCTTCACCACCATCTGGACAAAGACTGTGCTAAGAGCCAAAGAGCAAGTGTTATTTTCTTGGATGCCTTCTTCATGTAATGAAATGAAATGAAAAATACTTTATTTATCCCAGAAGGGAAATTCAATCTTGTAAAAGCTCACTTTTTTTTTTTTTTGACTGTCCACTATTGATTCAGAGACACAGCTTGGCTCTCACTTTTTTTTTTTTTTTTGTAATGCATTTTTTCATTTTTGTAATGCAACATCCCTCACATTGAGCTGTCACAGACACACCAATTTCCACTGATAACCACTGTACCAGATCTGAAGCCCTTGTCTCACTGTTTTTCAGAGGTAGATGGTGGAAGCAGTGTACTGTATCTGTGGCTTCATTTTAGGAGAACAGTCACTGCAGCTTTTGTTAGCCACCATGTCAAATTCCATACATGCTGATCACTGCTGCAACTGGTTTGACTGAGTTTTAGCTCCCTACCTGTCTTCCTGTAGCCCTTTCCATCTTTGTGAAGACAGGCAGATATTTTTAAATTCCTCTGGCAATTCTTTTCCATGGGGAGCCATGATTCAGATATGCAGATAGACTCAAACCTGGTGTTCACGGGTCATTTTATAACAATCTCCATGCAGGTAGGCTGATTGGAAACTCTAGATGGACTCTTTTTTTCAGTGATCATAGGCGTAGTCACTTTTATTGCACTGAGTTTATACTTTGGGGTCTGTATTGTCAATGTAGAGGTCAGCACTGTTGCCTCGCAGCAAGAAGGTCGCCGGTTTGTGTCTCGGTCAGGACACCTGGGATCTTTCTGCATGGAGTTTCCTGTTTGTGATTCTAGATGGTGCTGGAACTGAAAAGGCTGTATGAACAAAACATGGAGCTAGCTTCAGTCAGGAACACTAGCATTCTTTGCATTCATTATTCTTTGCTCCTTGTCTTTTTCCCTCCAGGGATCTTCTTCATACCACACAGTTTGGCTTATCTTTGCAGGAAAAGCATAAAATTAACAAAGACCCTGTTCCTTTGAAGTGTTCAAGCACTGAAAATATCAGTGTCAGCTAAATGGAAGGCAGTTGTAATTCATTCATGTTGTAAATGAAACCTTTTTTCTAATATTTGAAATGCTTGCTGTGAAAAATGCCTGTATTTGTACACTGATATAGAGTATATGATGCAACTCCATCCTGGTTTATGTCATCCAAAGCCACCACTCCTATCATATAGAAGCTTTGGGGACTTGTCAGAGAAATAAAAAAGAATGGTGAAAATCAGCAGGCTGTGCTGTTGTGTATTTCAGTCTTAAGCGTGGGGTCAAGCAACAAAAAGCTGAGATCCTACACTTCCCATGATGCAAATGAATTGCATCTTTCATTGTTGCTCCCTGCCTGCTAAATACCCATGTTTTCACAATCTGAGCATGAATAATACATTGACTTATGTGAAATAAACCCTTTCAGCTGCTGGTTAAGGTAACTAGACCGCCTCAGATGGAGTCTAAATGAACCATCTAGTCTAGTCAAAATGGAACACTTCCTTACTGGCTCTTTACCAATCTCCTTGTCAGACATATTTGTTTCTTGAGAGGAAAAGAAATCATCAGTGTTTTATTAAGCAGGTCTCATTCTTTGGTGCATTTCATGGCCAGCATTCCTAATAACTGCCAGGAAATAAACTGAAAATGTTATCAAGTACCTGACTGATAGTGGCTCATATAAGGTTTACTTGAGGACTCCAGCTTCAGTGTGTGGCACACGGTACTTCTAGTACCACCTGGCATACAAACTTAAGGCACAGAACTGTATTTGTTTCAAAGGACTGTGCTAAACACTAATAACCTGGATATCTGCATCAATCATCGACTTCGGTTTCCGTGAAAAACAAAAGGCCTTAGAAGGTATTAAAATCTCTTCAGTTTTATTTACAAAGGTCTTGCAGTTGGAGTAGAAAAAAAAATCAGTTTATACTGGGTTCCTCCATTGATTCATTTTCTGCCACTTACCTGCGTCCAGGCGTGGACAAACTGTCCGACTGCTTTCCACCTCTCCTATATAGGACCTATAAACAGTATATGAGACCTTCTATAGGTCGTTGCATTTCTTTGGGATAGTTTTGTCTGTCTAGTTGTTTCAGGGAGCGCTGAGATTTTCAAACAAGTAGCATGAACGGTCACTTCACTCAGAGGCTCTGGCCCAGGACCAGCACTGACGCAGTCCTGTCAGATATCAGACAGGATTCTGGAGAAAGATTGTTGCTATTTAGCTAGTTGGCATATTCAGCATGTGCCAGATATCCCTTCCCTTTCTGTTCCAGTACACCGCCATCCCCCCTTCCCCTCCCCGTCCCGTCACGAGCACAAAAGTGCACGCTGCCACACTTGTCACTTGATGTTTTTCAGTGCACACACGGAATAAAAACTAGCAGATCGTGATAAGATATTGTCTGAATTGAACCAAAAAAATGGAAATGGTTTGAATGACTAGCTTCACCTTTAGCTGAATAATTATGAAGCTGGCAAAATGTGATATGAACAACAACAAACCCATGTACCAACAGCTGTAAATAACTGTATGGCTTATTGTTTAGCATTCTTCAACAACTCTGATCATTATAAAGGGTTTAAATGTTATTCTGTGTGATCTAAAAAATGTCTTGATTGAATTCAGAAACAGGGAATAACAGTGTATACAGGGGATTTTTCATTGACTGCACAAAAGATCTGAAGTTTTCAAGTGAAAGACTTTACCCAACTTCCAATTTACTGGGGTGGGGGGCATATTTGACCCTTTGTTACCACGTGACCCAAGTTCCACATTAAGGTCACATGATAACAGCCATTTCTGTAACAACTGAGCAACTGGGAAATGATATGTGGCAGAAAGCTTTAGAAAGACAGTATTTTGCTGTCAAACCCAAATTATTATATTTATTTCAGCACTTACCAGCAACTTTATCGAATATTAGCTTTTAAACTTCTGCCTCTGTCGCTATGGTTTAACTTAACACCTGCCTTTTGCTCTGCAAGTTTTTAATTTCACAACAAAGGCTTCTGTGCGCTCGTTGGATTAGTCGCTGCTGTTACCGGCAGCTGTTTGAAAAAAAATAACAAACCACAAGGACAAATCAGTGAAATGTCATTGTCACATCTATTAAGGCCAGATCTGTTGCACTTTTGCTCTTAAATTCACAGGATTAAAATAAAAAGACAGTCAGTGTCAAACCTGCTCACAGAAATCAGCTGTATAATCAAGTTGTGAAGAAAAAAACCAAAAAACAACGCTGATCGGTAATAATCGATTGCATGAGTCAGATTAGGGGGAGAGATGAAGGTACAGCATGAGCCCTGTTAGACTTCTATCAACCAGCCACATGTCCACACTATTGCTACAAACAGAGACTGCGATGAGAAGAGGTGGTCCACCTTCATACTGTAGAGAGGAACTCTGTGGAAGCAGCACCACCGTGTGGAGGGACTGAGCACTACATGACTCAGGTAATCTCTTGCGTGGCGGTCAGGTGTACATGGTGATGTAGCAGTAGTCATTAGTGTCCTGGGGTGGATCCCAAAACTCCAAAGTTTAATCCATTTCTTCTCCAGTGACCCACACAGATACCTCACTGTCATCCCACCCAGAGAATGGCATACGTTTACATACATTCAACAAACAGGGTAAGGTCATGTCTCCACACTCCTGTAGTTCACTGTTGCAGCTCCATGTAGTTGAAGGATTCACAAGAGACAGATTCACAAAAGAATGATCAAAGGCAATGGCATGTTATTAAAATGGTAATAATAATAATCATAAACTTCCAGTCTGCAGTAGAAGGTCAAACATTCATGTCTCCTTAAAGGGCTGAATGAAAATGATTAGGGGAATAAAAATAAGGGAGGGTTAGTGGTCTGACTTTCTCATTCCAGAGACTTGTATGTTTTTTCATATTACAGCGTGAGACTTAGGGTTAAAAAAAAAAAAAAAAAGTACCAATAAAAGCTTTTTTTAAAAAAAGTCTAAAAATGCTTGCTCAAACACAATTACAAAGTATTGAGTTTGTTTTCATATAAGACAAAAACGCAGCAGATTCTACATAGTAGCAGCAGTGAAACATTAATAAAATCCAATTGTTGCAGCTCTATTGTGTCTTTCAAATAGATAAATAACAAATTCTTACAACATGGGCATCTTCACATCATCTGGCAGCTCTAAACAGGTGACTTAGAGTAGATTTTGTGATATTTCATTAGTTTGAACTACAAATTTTGACTGGCGTGGGACATCTATCTGTTCTATTATTCAGAGCAAAGTTGGACAAACTGAAGTTTGTTTGAAGTTGGAAACTTGCTCCCAGTTCGTAACCAACCTTTGTTACCCTAGTCAAAATGACTCTATTCATGCCAGCTGAGTAATTTTCTCAGACTTGAGAAAGTTCTTTTACAGCCAAAAACAACATACAGCAGTTATTACAGGCTGAGTGCTCTTCCTGATAAGACTTTGATGGTAACATTAGTTGGAATGCCAGTTAAAATGAATGTCAAAACAGAACACTATGCTGGAAACCCACATGTGCAATGGCAGCTGGATGCAGCAGAGAGATGATGACTGACAAGGCAGATACCAGTGAAAGCAGTCCAGTGAAGAAAGACGATTTTAGGCTGAACAGCAAACTGCAAAGCAAAACATGTTGCAATGCTTTCATTTGAAATTTTTTTGGTAGCTTCTGTCATGTAGTGAGGAGTTTGATGTTGTACATACTGCAGGCAGTGTAAATAATGTGTTCAACTGATCCCTGCCTAACTTGCTGCCTAATGTCTGTGAGGAAGATGTAGATTAGAGACCCAACAATATCAACTGCTCTGTTAAAGGGTTGTACGAAAAACATGCGTCATCTGCATGGTTCATATAACTGATGCACACTGCAGTCTGTCCCAATTCTGTCTGTTGGCTAACATTAAGAATTCTATCGCTGCACGTACACAGTGATGCTTTGGACATTCCAGGCAAATACTAACCCCTGCTACTGTGCTTCACCTACCTGGAGGTAACTTTAAAGAGACAAAGAGAGTAAAGGGAAGCAGAGACCATCTGGTGTACTTCCTCTCTTGAAAAGCAACATTTTTCAATGGAAACTTCATCTTGCCCTCATTAAGAGCCTCCATGAGCCTGTGATTAGACAATACTGCTTTTAAAGTTGCTATGAGGAAGTCATGAAGGAGCTTATTTGTTTTTCCAGTATAAAAACAGTCTTCAGGGTGGTTGGACAAGCAGTGGATTCAGTACTGGAGTCATGGAAAAAAAGGGGTTGTGGAGGGAATTCCACGTGAGTTTTGGAGCTTTGGGATCAACACAAACCCTGGATCTCATTGATTCCACTGATGAGCTCATCCTCGAGGGTCGACAGAGAACTCGTCCGTGAAATCCATACCTGTGATAGTTTTTTCACCAGATTAAAAGTCTGTACACTCTTGTTCCTCTGTGAGGTCTTCAGGCAAACCCAATCCCAAACAGTCTGGCTCAGGGTGTCAGGTCCAGTGATTCCAGTGTCTCCCCAGTTCTGTGTCTCGGCCAAGTTTACTCAACCTTAGCACTGTGATTGAAGTTTGATTGAAGCTGCCAGGACCCGAGATCAGTCTACTATAGTCCAGTTCACAAACCAATAACTGAGCAACAGGTTACTGACTCCCAGCGTGATGACAACCAGTTCACGGCACAGAGTTTTAGTAGCACAACTCATTGTAACTAATGTTATTGTAAAAGATCACAGTCTCATTCTTGGTTATCTGGTCCCTTGAAACTAGTAAAACCTGCAATTTCACCTGAGTAAAGTGGTTCACACTTAAGGGAGAATACTGGATATATCAGTCCCCACACTGGTGCTTCTTACTCTTCTTCATTACAAAAGAATAAAGATGCAGCAAATGTGGCGTCCTGATTTTTTTTCTTCTTTTTTGCTTTCTTTGCTCTAAGTGGGAACCATTTTACTTGTAATTGCTACTAATACAATAAAATGCAATAATTAATACAAAACCTACTCAGATCAAATCTGAGTTCAACAGACTTGATGAAAACAACAAAAGCTAATTATTCCAGAAGTAACGCAAAGCAAACTTGACAAAAAAAAACAAAACAAAACAATAAAAACCTTAACTTGAGGTCCACCAAATTTTTCTCACTTTAACTCTGATGTGAAAAGTTTCTTGGTACAAGATCCTATTCATGTCAGAACAAGGTATCATTTATATTATGACGTATTCTTTTGTAGACATGCTTTCCAGTTGGGTGACCTCATGACTGCGTCCCTGCTTTGTGCAGATGATGTGGTCCTGCTGGTGTCGCTGGGCTTTTCTTACTATAAAAATTCACCACATTCTCCGACCATCCGAGGCTTGCAGAGTCGCTAACACTAACTAATAACTAATTCAAACATGTTTTTAGAAAAATTATATTTTTGTTGTTTTAGTTTTGTAGCTACACTTGTTTAATGCCATTGTCTGTGCTTTTTATATGTTTGAACTATTTATGCTATTGTTGTTTTAATAAAAACTAATTTTTGTCCAATTAGAATTTCTACTGGTGGAGGGAGATGGTTTTACTGTAAATATATACTGTTAAAAGGTGCTTTATGAAATCTTTTTTTTTTTTTTTTAAGTATTATGATTAATATAACTCATGTTGTAATATAGAGCAGCTCCCTCATGCTGTTGCATATCACTGTCACAGAAAAAAATACCTTGTTACAACATAAAGACGATCAAATACAAACAAGACCATTTTCTCATTATAGCAAGAAACTGAGATGTTTCTTTCTTTTGTCCTGGTGCAATATTTAGGCTGGTAGGTGTTAGGGTCAGGTTTTGGTACCTGAAGACCTCCATTCCAAGGTTTATGATCAAAAAGCACTGATGATTGTGTGTTTGACAATATTCACAGTTGATTGGCACCATTTTTGCAACAGCGTCAGATGCAGACAGACCGTCTCTGGCTTGTTTCTCCTGGTGTGGTAGGATGGCAGTCGTGGTGAGATGGTCCTGCTGGTCCAGGTGGCTCTGCAGATAGCCTGGCCTCCTCCGTCCCGCCCTACTGTGTGCTGGGCGTCACTACAACAAGGCACTGGGAGACACTGATGCTGATGGAGGAGGGGAGGGACAACATTGGAGGGGTTAACTCACCATCGCTGCCCCTCTATGACCACCTCCACTCCTCCCGTCCTGCTGTACTGTCCTGGTGTACAATCAGGTGACATCTGCCTCTCAGGAAGTAGAGCCCTGCCTGCCATAATGCCCTGACAATCAGGGTTGGAGAGGAAGTGAGGTGGAGATGAGTCCGTCCACTCAGAGGCTGAGTGGGATGTGCAACTCAAACATAACACAAAGTCTGTATCCCTGAAGATTGCTTAAATGAGATTTGGCACACTGTGGTACTACATTATTGAGTGGGTGGTTGGGGGGGCGGGGTTAACTGATCACAGTGGTCACAGAGTCCAGCAGTCTCCCTGGATCCACAATTTCATTTTGTAGATCCCTCTCATGGTGTGGTACCTGTCATTAAACGACCAACACAGGATATTAAAACAAACCAAGCCAAAGGCACCAAATTAGCATGCTGACGTGATTACAAGCACAATCCAAAACCTCAGCTCTTGATTAGGATCAAAGTGTCAGCAGCACCCGAAGAGAACCACTGAAAAACACTCACTGCTCTCAAAAACATATCCTCTTTGCTCCGTTAAAAACATGTATACCTGGGATGCTTGGAAACAACTTTACCTGTGCAAAAAAAAGCTTTAATCTGATGGATGCTCCGGACATGATCTGTTCACTTCAAACCACTCGTCGATGCAGCTGAAAAACAAGGAGGGAGCAGATGAGTGTCTGCAGGTCAAGTGTGAAACAGAGGAACTGATGATAACAACAACATACTTGTGGTTCATCATGTCCTCAAAATGTCTGTTTAGTTGGCTGTGGTGACACCTACTGGTGAGCAGGGGTCATATTTGGTATGTTTTTATAATGATGTACAACCTGAAGTGAAAAGTGTTAGATCTCAGGGGTGTACTACAAAGCAAGTTTGACAAAGCCAGGCTTTCTTTGTATTAACTGGCTTCACAAAAACTAAAACCCTAATCAGAGGTAATGGTCATTAAGGTTATCTTTGCCATACTCTCTGTGTGCTCGTTCTCAGCATGAACTGCTGGACCGATGGTTCAGTCAGGTTGTTATGAAGAACATACAAAAATGTATTCTGGTAAAAACCACGTTCACTACAGATGATGCAAGAGAGAAACGCTGCTACAGCATTTTGAAATGTTGAAATGAACATATCTCGCTTAAACTTACTGCACTAAAGTTCATACATGTAATGATATTCAAGACGTTCATTTCAGTCTGTTACTGGTCCATAATGAAGGATACATGGCAATCACTTGAATGAATGTAGGTTCCTGTGGCAACGTGGCACATAGAAGGTGCACTATTGTAGCTGTCTGGCTTTGTACCAGGGCATTACTAACATATGGCTCAACAGGCCTGCATATATAACACATTCCCTCAGCTGAGAATCTATAGCACTCATAGAGAATATTGTCAGGGAAAGAACTGGTGAAAGGATGGTGCTTCTTACAGCTGATTTAAATCCCAAATGTTGAACATAACCTCCTCTGGAGCAGGTTAGGTGTGCAGCATGAGTGACAAAAGCAAACTTACAGAATGAAAGCCATGTTATATTTTAACACGAAAGAATGTACTTGAAGTTAAATAGAGAAGAGGGGCATATTTAATATACAGTAAAAATCTTACTGTTAGTATATATTCTGGAATGAAAACCTGCATTTTTAATATAATCAAGTATCCTGTATCACTAATGCATAACAAGCCAGACTGCCGGAAAATCAGTGTAAAGGTCAGAGAGTTGCGATTATTGTGGACCTCCTGTCCTCATAAATATACTGTATATGCACTGAAGGCTGTGGTGAAGCACGGCTGTAAAGAAGCAGCCAGTAACAGGTATCAGTGTCTACATAGCTTTGGTTCTACAACACGTAAAACGACATGGCGACATGTGCGACAAGCTTGTGGAATATTTGTAACATCAGCAGAGCTTCACAGAAGTGGAGGATAAATGACGGATTTAGGAGCCGATTATACAAAATATTTAGTCATTTACTAATATAGCTTAAGTAATGCTCACTTTATTTATTCTTTGTTTAGCTTAATTGAGGATACTACATCAGGTGCATATAGAGTTGAACTATAGAAGGGAGTGCAATGACATTTTCATGTCAGAAGACTCAGAATTTTACTGCCTCTCAATAAAAGCTTGATTTCTATGTTCAGTATTTCTTCTTACAAACAATCAAAAACAAGTTTTTTCGAAAGGCAGCACTGAAAATACAGGCCCAAAACTACAAACTCAATGCAACAATGTGAACAGACCTGTGATCACTGATACAAAAGTCAGAAGACTTGTGATGGCAGAATCAAAGATGAGAACACCTGTGATTTCCAATTGACCTAACTGCATAAACATGGTTATAAAATGCCATTTTTCAGGTTTGACCTATGTGCTGTGTCCATCTGCATGTGTGCATGATTTCTTGCTCTTTAGCACAAACATACAAGAACATAAAAGAAGACGAATGAATGTTGGGAGCACAATCTTTGTTAAGGTGAGATGATCTAAACCTGAGCAGGACCACCACAGTGACCTCATAGCTCTGACAGTAAAGCAGAGGTGGGAGTGCGATGATATGGGGCTGCATGAATGCAAAAGGTGTTGGAGAGATGACATTTATAGGTGCGCTATGGATGCTGGTGGAAATACTGGCTGTCAAGATGACTCACATTCTGCAGAAGCTTGAAGAAGAAAAATATTCCAGCAAGATCCAAAACACCTTATTAAAAAAAGTAGAATTTCTTAAGAAAAAAGAGACCTATGACTTCTATGTTGCCTGACTTAAATCCAGTAAAACACCTTTGGGGTATTTTAAAGAAAAAGGTAGAGCAACACAAGCCCTCACTCCAACACTCATATCCTCCATGGTAAGGAGGACTGAATCTGTCATCAGAAATAAAGACGGACATACAGAGTCACACTTGAAGCTCACTAAGAAATGTGTTCTCACTTCTGCTGCACAGAGCTGCGACTGTGGGGCCTTGATTTAAATATAATAAACCTTCATACTACAGTCTGTGTTGAAGATACTGTACATCTTATGTATATAAACACACCAGCTGGATGTGGGCTTTTATAATACATTTTGATTTAACTCTGACTTATTAATGCTAATGTTCTGTGGATGCTACCTTACTGAGTCTGATCATCTATTTCTCCATGAAGTAAGTGTGCATGAAATTATCCAACTAGCTGCAGTGGGAGGTTGGAAATGTTCAAGTTCTGAGTTCTAGCATCATTTATTTGGGCTGCTGCCGTTTTATTTTGCCAGAAAGTCATTTAAACACCCCCTCTTATGAAAATCCTTTTTAAAAAACATTAAAAAATGAAAAAATGTGTTAACATGTCCATATCGTGTTTTCTCAGCCAATCACTCCACTTTGAAAATGCAGCGTACTGATGAGAATTTCAAAAACACTGATATATAGATATTCATATGTAACAACCCTACAGGACTGACCCTGGCAACTCCTGGGTTGGGGCTTTCTGTATCATAGTTCTTCCTCAGAATGGGTTTATGGTTCATACACGTATGGCTAAATTACTTCATTATTACAACTTGTCATCTTTGTAGCATTGACTAGTTTCAATGTTGAGCAGAGTCACAGGTGAGCTGGCATGCTTGAGCTGCAGCAAGTGGAGGAGGGTGGGTGGAGAAAGAAGCAGGGACTTCAAATATCTACACATTCTAAAGGAAGCATCATTGTACACTTAAAGTTGAACCAGTTTGAGGTAGAAAAAAACAATATAGGAGGATTGATTATGTAATTTATACATGGATATTAATTTTTAGGGGTTTAATCAATGGCCGGAAAGAGATTTTAAAAAGAGAGAAACCAGAATAGTGCACATGCATATGTGGGGTTATGACATAACTGCTTTAGATGTTACGATGAAAAGGAGGAGTACAACCTGTTACACACCTGCAAATATCAAGAACGACACTCTAAAGTCAGACCTGTTTTCACTGATATAAAGGAAGCAGGAGCTGAAACCAGCGGACTACCATCCTACCAACAAGTCAGTTCAATAAATACATTTAAAAAATACACTGGCCAGCCGTGCAGAAGTGAGGGATAAGGCAGGGTTTGAACGTTTTCTCTCGACCCTTTTTTCACTCTTGGCACAACTGTTTCTGTTATTCATCATGAGAACAACAAAGTTCAGTCCCTCCCTATGACATCCACATTAGCCCTGCCTTTGATGTGGTCGTTAAACAGCTAAATAGATTCATCGTACAGGCTAGTTCTGTTCAAGCCTGACTCTCAGTTTCCTATCAGTCACATTTTAAGATTTTGTTTTAAACTATGTTTTTTTTGTTATTTGTACATTGAAACAATGTCTATTGGCTGCCAGCTTTCCTCCTGTTCATACTGGCTGGAAGCGATGGGGGACAAAATCCACATTCTGCTCAAAAACATGTTCCTGAATATATCATTTCAAGTGTAGGCTTCAACAGTCGAATCAAGTGGAAACCTTCCAAAGTTATAAACATTCTCAGGACGCTCAGGACAGGAAAAAGCTGTCTGGGAACAAATAAAGAGGGGATTAGGTACTGAAAGTACTGCAGCTTTGGCAGTCATTTGATGAATTCACAATATTCAGGCTCATATCATCTTCGAATAAACTTTGGAATTCATGTTTACTCTGAATGGAGACTGGATTTCACAGAAGCATTGGTATGAAGGGATCTTAGAACAGCCAGCATGAGCAGCAGGAGCGATTATATATTGGACAGAAATGTGAAAAGACTAATTATCCGGTTATCACCATATGCTTCTAATGGCTCTGGCTTAAAAGTCTGTTCTGACAAGATTAGTCCTGCCAAATATGAGTGTGACTTAAAGGTAAGCAACTATCCTCTCTGTTGCATTCACTGTCAAATTTCAGCTCACTTAGACCAGTTAGCTCATCACTGTGTGCTACTCTGTGCAATTTTCGAAATGCACTGTTTCCTAGAAGATATTGCATATGTTCAGTTAACAAGCTTGATATTTATAAAACATGACATATCAGGTACAGTCCTCAATCTGGTGAGCCGACATGCAGTTGTCCTCTATTCATTCTAATTAAGTCCAGCCACATAGCTGTTAAAAAGCTGCTCAGCAGACGGCAGTGTCAGCTCTTCTCGTGTGGCATCGCCAACAATTAGCCAGGATGTCTACAGCATCTGTTGTGTAGTACGTGGAGGCTGTACACCGGGGTTCTCGTTATGCAGTCTGCTGCTCTTTGACTTTATTAATTCACGTTATGTATGCCAGCTGGAGGGGTGTAACAATATGCAAAACTAATGTTTTGGTATGTATGTACGTTCTGGGTCATGGTTTGGCTGAAATCGCTTTCTTAGAATCATCACCTGACAAAACTGCCTGGAGTTTACGTTCAGTGTGACCATACACGTTTCATAACGTGTGCGTGTGTTGATGGGTATGCTTTAGACTGACAAATCTTTGTATTTTTGCAGACCATATTTGGCTGATTCTGTTCATTAGCAAACATTAAGACATAAATGAGAAAAAAAGAAGAATTAGAATATTGAAGGCATTCATAGAAGAAGAGGTCACAGTAACAGACTGAAAGAGCTCCAGTCGAACTCAAACTGTTTGTCGATATGGCATTTCTTATTGTTCCATGTATTAATTTGAAGAAGGTTAACAGTTTTCCAATGGCTC